TCACTGCGGCATACTACAAATGTGTAATCAGTATATCGACAGGAAGTAGTTTAGTCTACTGCACGCTTCAACTTTGTTCTCTCAAGGTTAAACAAAATGTTTGCTAATACAGCGTTTGGCAGACGGTCCATGGCTCTACCATGATAGAGCCAGGGGAATATGCTCTACGGAGAAATTATGGGAAGAACTTCTGGCTCTTGAGATGTTGAAAAGTAACAGTTATCCTCAGAGATTTACTATCGAGTACGGAAGATCCTGAGGTTTAAATGCAAAACAAATCATAGTGAAAAAGAAGCCTATTTTCATACAACTCCATTTCAAAGGTGATAATATTGCAGGAATAGTCAACTGAAGATTGAATACGTCACTAACCGGGACCTATCCTGCAGCTGAGTTGATTCCCCTATTTACCGGACAACATGCTCTTTGGTGTAGTCAAAGGTCGATAGATACCCTTTGGAATAAAGCAAATCATTATCATTTTTAAATTAACTCTAGTTGTGTATACAAATTTACCTGTATCTGCGGTGACAGTTACATTGGGAGAACAGAAAGAATGGGGCACACCTTCGGTTTTCTGAACATGTACGAAAGAGCCTACGTCTCAAGAGAACAGATGCCTTCAATAGTACTTTTGCCAGGCATTTCGTTGATACGGGTCATGAGGTGAAGACCCTGAAATCCTTTGAAATTATCAATCTAGTGTAGTTCAATTCTCCTCAGATTTACCGAGGAAATTGTTGTTTAACTCTTGAAGTCTTACTTATGTGTTCATAGAGAAGCAGTTATCAGTTTTGCCTGTCCCTGTTAACTCGATGTCTTTACTCTTCTTTTCGTTTGATTACGCAGTCATTGGCTTTAATTTCTGTCTCTTTCACTATGATTTAATTCTACTGGTCGTTTGTTCCTCCGATTTGAGTTAATACATAATACTTTGATAAAGCTATTAGCATAAATAGCGAAACGTCAGTAAAAACAAATTTGAACTCACCATATTGTTACGCAACCTATTAGTTGTTTATCATCTTGTCTGTATTGTGCAACTCCTTTTCCATTATATCTAAACATTTATCATGTTATGGCTTTGTTTAGTCCAAACTTGGATCTTTTGTGTATGAGTAATGCAAATGTTGTTTCTGAGTACTGTTCATTAATTTTTGAGTCTCGTGCTAGCTTATATCATGTCACATTTGCAAATAATTTAAAGCAGCTATGTAAACTTGATAAGTTTTCGTAGACAGTTCGCAACTGATGGAAAGTTGACGAAATAAGCAGGTGTATCATCTTTTAATGTACAACTCGTCGTTTTAGCACTGTGCTGAATGTAATCCATGTGTTGAAACCTGCAACGATTCATGAGTTTCTACTGATTTCTACTCTTGTTTTGTGTGATCTCGGTCGGTCGGTCGGTTTTCGACATAGAACTTTGCACATATGTGCGGCTGTTCAAGTCGCCACACTCCGTGTAGCATACAAAGCAAGAGAAGAAAGTAGAAGAACTGCATAATATAGACAGTAAACAGAGGTGTGAGACAAAGGAATAGTAATAACGAAGAACAAAACAGTTTCATTGGAAATCACGAGTCACAAGGAGTGGATGCATCTGCACCAGCCATTGAGAACGATTTTGAGCCATGTCACCAATTGTTTCCAACCATTGGTTTTTACCGTCCCGAGGACCCCAACAAGACAGGAAGTCTACACCTTCCTACGTGACTGGCTTAGACTAACTGTTGTAGATTTGATTGACTGGTGCCATGTTTTGGTTTGACCGCCACTAGCTCTTTTCCAGCCTGACCCGATATCAGCTAACATTGCCCGTCGAGGAAGGCGATGACTATGTTCTAGAATCTGTCGAAGGGTGAAGATATGATCAATACACCCTCTTCCTGGCCTAAAACCTGCCTGGTTTTCTCGTGTTTGTGTCTCCCGAGCACCACTTAGTCTACGCAGTATTATTGAGCCTAGGATTTTAGATACTATATTAGCCAAGCTAATCCCACTGTGATTATCACAAGAAGACTTGTCTCCCTTCTTGTATATCGGGATGATCAGTGACTTACACCAACCCGATGGGACTTCCTCTGATTCCCAGACGCTGCCTAGAACGTCCGTTAACGCAGACAGTAAACTGTCTCCACCGTACTTAAATACCTCTGGAGTCAATAAATCAGGTCCCGCTGCTTTGCCTAGCTTCAGATTAGTGACAGCTTTAGTAACCTCAGTTAAGGACGGAGGACCTGTGTCTATATCCCATCTCAGTCCATATGGTTTCTCTACGAGACTATGATTGCACATGTATTGTTTAAGACTGATAATATTACCAATTTAGCCTTTACGGCTGACATCGGTGCGGAGAGGGACTTGAACCTAGAAATCACTGGCTGTCAGTCAAACGTTGAAGTTGGTGAAACACTTCTCCAAACCTCACATTTTTAATTGTTGATTACTAGACAAAAGTGAGTTAGGTAATGCGTCATCTGACTGCAAGTGTATTTCTAGGAGAAAAGATCCTGTTATATTATTTGCGTACTTTGCCCTTTGTGAAATAAGCACCGCAACATGATCATGTCCCAAATTAAAAGTAAATCAAACACTTATGAGTAAAACTCGACTACCTATTACTTATAAGAACTTTAAAATGATTTAATTTGTGTTGTTCATTGTCAGTATGGCGATAACCTTAAACAAACAAAAGAAAATCAAAGTATTACATCACCTCGTTATCACTAATTACCATATTACCTTTTTATATTGTGAAATAAACGAATAGATTTCTGTGTAAAGTTGTATATATATAGAGAAAATCAAAACAAATGATTCAGCGAAGAGACTCTTTTCAACGAATTTATCATCAAGCTGTACAATAGTATATATATGGTTTTTAAGAAGTTATATCCGGTGAGGGAATTGAAACATAGGTGTGAATGCATGAAATAATAATAATATGAAGTGCAATTAAAACTAAAATGTTTGTGATTATAATCGTAGTTAAATGTCAAGTGACAAAGCAAATTAATGTCATATATAGAATAATTCATAGAATGGATAGAACTTGAAAAAGGTGTGCAATTATAAGATTAGTAGACAAATCGAAAAAATAAAAACGTTACGTAATATTGTGTGAAATTTAAGCGCATAGAATTTAATGTTGCATAAAGGAATTGATTTAGAATGACAAGTGGAACAAGTGAAATAATACCGGGGACAATTAAAAGTGAGAGTAGTAATAGTAACAATTGACTTAATAAGGAAGAGTATACAAATTGAATAGAGAAAAATGGAAAAATGAAGAATTGGTAGAGCTAAAATATGATTGGGGATTACCATACTTTAGCATAGAGGGATTAAGACCATGAAAGTTGGAGGGGTTGAACGAACTTTTTCTGTACACAGAGATCTGGCTTTTCTGTTTCGATAGCCAAAGCTTCAGCAATACAGATGAGTCGGGTACGTAGGGATTTGGGTAAATTACTCTTTGCCTTGTAGATGACTTTGAAGGCGGAGGCTATAGAAATAGGGTGATCATTATCGACCAGATGTTCAATGATCGCGCTTCTTATTGCTCCACTTCCACCTCTTCGTAACCATGCAGGATAGTGTTCTTGCACCCTCTTGGACAAAACTCGTGTCGAACGACCGATATACCTAGCTCCACACGAGCAGGTGAATTGATAAACACACATAGAGTTGGTCAACAGCGGGATCTTGTCCTTCAGCTTATTGAACAATAATGGTCGACTAGAAAAGGCTATTCTCAGGGATGCAGCAGGGAATGTTCCTTTCAGGGATTGTGATATCCTCCGTTTCATGATATCGGAAGCTAAGTCCCCTTTGAATTCCAAGCTCATGTAAAGTATCTTCTTGGGTACGGTTGATAACTCACGTTTTTTAGGATTTGAATGAATATTCTTATCTATAAAACGTGGTGGAAATCCATTTTCTATTAGGATTTTCCTCAAGATGTATAACTCAACTTCCACAGAATCAGGGCTACATATGCGCCGAATACGAGTGGCAAGCGACCGGATCAGGTTTCGTTTTCGACCATTGGGTACCCAGCTGTAGAAATTTGTCAGTTGACTATTCCATGACAGCTTGCGATAAATCGATCTTTTCAGGGTTCCATCTGTCCTTCTTGATAAGTTCACATCGAGGAAATGCATGCTTGAATATATGTAGTCAGAAAATAAATAGTTTCCAAGAGTTAATTTCTAGGAATGTCATTTGTTTCAAGTTTACCCATGGAATTATACAAGTCCTCGATGGTCCTCTAACTGATGTCAATCCGTCCTGAAACTTGAAATAAATCAGATCCCTATAAACTAAATCTTGAAAATTAATCTGATGCTGGCTAGTGACTAGCTGCAAGACGAAGTTACCTGAAATTCTGGTGAGAATTAGTGACCAGCGATATCCACCCGGTCAGGAGTGGGGACAAATACTCCCCACCAATGACATTTGACTGGTGCCAGTCGTGTTAAAATCACGAATTAGTAGAAGTTAGAATTCCTGGTCTGACCATTGAATTGGGTCCCAGTGGTTAAACGCACTACGAGCTTCCCTTGTGACCGGAAGGTTCTGAGTTCGAATACTAGTGGATGCCGTACTGCTAGTGAGTTCCAAGCTAGTGGGACGAAACAGCTGTCCATTAATCCCTGGTTTTCAATGGTGGTTCTCTAGCTGACATCAAACCATGGGAAAACTTGAAAATAAATAGTAATACCTGTTCTCGTAGAAAGCTGAACTACAATGTATCTAGTAGACAAAGCTGTCCAGACGCTTAACTTCCAATCACAGAGTCACGTGAGTCGAACTCCGATTCATCTACTGAGGTTTGGATAGCCAGGTGTGTGTGTGTGTGGTTCATTGCTATATTATATGGAGATGCAATGTATTCAGTAATAATGTAGATATTTTATAATCAGTCTTAAAAATGTGCGTGTATCTCACACAATGGATTTACTTGACCCTAATGTGTTTTGTTTGCCTATTTTCAGTTCTAATTCTACTGTAACACTAAGATTCTGGCTTACAAGTCAACATTGACGTAAACAAAAAGAAAGAAACTTTTGTATAACTAAGAAGATTTACTCAATACCTAATGGCTGCAAATACTACGGGTACACCCCACGTAAGTGTGAATTTATATATATATATATACATCTGACTTTCAATTGTACACACATGAACTGTCAATTGTATACTATTATTATTATTTTATTATTCCCTTGGATTCTGAGTGGAACATAGGGCTTCAGCAATACATCTCCACTCTGTTCTATTTTCTGCCGTCCTCTTCAGCTGGGTCCATGATTGCCCACAATCGCTCATCTCCTCTTCCTCCTCTCCACATGATGTCTTCCCTGTCACCCGCGCACCGCTAACCCACTCGTCGCTTCCCATTAAGATTCCACCCGAGCGGTGGCCTGCATTGCGCACGATATCATTCGACGGTCTCCTCAATGTATACCCGACCGATCCTTCTCCATTTTCTCCTACATATTTGTTGAACGATCGACTTTTGGTTGGTTTATTCCCAGCCAGAATTTCTTGTTGTTCGTTCTTTCTGTTTGGGACTCTTCAGCAGTTAGCACCCACCGGGATTCGAACCCAGGACCTTCTGGTTACAAGGCGAGCTCGTATACCATTAAGCCACTGGGACCACTGGCCATTTGATCTTCAGTATGAAGCCAGCGACGAGGAGGGGAGCCATTGATAAAAATCTGCAACTTGTTGGAAATCTTTTTCGTGACACACCAAGGTCAAAAACTTGACGTGTCAATAGTACTCAAAACATGATATAACATGTCGCTTGTGTGTGTTTCATTCTGCTACCCACTGGCGGCAATAAGCGTAACACACCTACATGAGAATTTTATGCTATCCATTAACAAAAGAGAAAACCAGTATTCATTCAATGTCCGATAATACTGCATTCTGTTCATATCTATCTCTCAGATATCTAGAAAATTTTATTAGCCCCAAGGATAAATCAAAGGCAAGAAATTGGGATTATAAAACTCAAGTTTTGAAGTTGTGGAATTACATTTTGATATGATTCTAGGCAAACAGGTCGCGTTCGAGATGTCATCCAAGAAATAATACTGTTTTACTGTGTAATCTACAAGCTAATGTGGAATTTCCCCCACCCCACCCCCATTCCTTTGCGTTCCCAGTGGAACATAGGACTACAAGCTTGAGCTGTGAAGTTTTCTGTAGCAGTGGTGCATTTTTTTTATGGGATGAAATTGTTAGCCTCACGCCAAACTTTACCTGTTTATCGGTCTTACAGCTCACTAAGGGAGGTAAAAGAGTTCACCGGCCGATAATCGAACTCTGTACTACCATGTGCAGCTTGGTTAGTGAGTCTTTTACCGCTGAATCTTCTACACGTCATATGGAATTATGGGCTGCTACAGTAGCCGCGTCGGCGGCACAGTGGTAGAATGGTCGCCAACCACGCCTCACATGTTTCGGGGTTCGATCCTCGGTCGATGCACTCCTTTATCTCACTAAGCCAGTAATAAGACTGGTAAAGAGGGAAAGTTGGGCATGAAGCTAGCAACCCCATCCCATAAGAATAAACACCACTGCTGCCGAAATTTCAAAGAGCTAGCTTGAAGCCCTATGTTCCACTGGGAACGTAAAGGAATATTTAAAAAAAGTAACCAATCTCTACACTTATATATATTTAGTTCATGTTTAACTAGATTCTGAATGGAGTGCGATGCTTTAACTTTTGAACTAGACACAGTATTAGTGAACACTGAAAAGTGATTCTCCCTTTGTTACTGAATCTGATAAAATTGTCATATATGCTTCCCCCCCCCCGCTTATTGTCATTGGGTAGCGGAATTCGACACATAACACAACTAGTATGTCATATTATTATTTTAAGCTACCGTTGACAGTGTATGTATGTGTGTATAGTCGAAAATAGGATGGATAGATGGATGGATGGACGCATGGATATTATTATTATTATTTCCTTTAGTTCCTAGAGGAACATAGGGCTTCAGCCATGCGTCTCCATTGCGTTCGGTTCTCTGCTAGAGTTTTCACCTGGCTCCAAGTCTGCCCACACGTTTTCATCTCCTCTTCACATGATCTCCTCCAGGTCACCCTTGGACGACCAACTCGTCGCTTCCCTTTCGGGTTCCACTCGAGCAATGGCTTGTCTAGTGATGTCACTTGATGCATTGTTTCCTCAGAGTATGGCCAATCCATCTCCATTTCTTCCTGCCTATTTGTTTCACAATCGGTTCCTGGTTGGTTCGTTCCCAGAGATTTTTGTTGCTGATCCTTTCCGGCCATCTGATCTTGAGTATTGAGCGAAGACATCTGTTAATGGAGGTCTGTAGCTTGTTTGAGGTGCTCTTTGTGACACGCCAAGTCTCTGATCCGTATCGTAGTACTGACTTCACATGACGCATGGATAAATGATTCATTACCGTGAAAGGAAGATATTTCGTTTAACAATATGAACAGAAACCAGGAGTATGTTTAAAACCTTACTGTGTCTTTGTTGTGTGTGATTCCTCAATAGGTAAATGGTTCCATTGTTCTTTCACACTGTCAGAGAGGTATAGCTAAAAATCTTTCTCACTGCCGTAGATTTGGAGATCTCCAAATTTCTTATTGTTCTCCGTGTCATTATTCTCGCTATCTCTCTCTCGTAAATTTTGCTTTCGAATTTTTTGTTTGTTTATTGAAGTGTGGTAATTTGAATTGCTGTAATTGTGTGCAAAATTCTACATTGGAAATTTAGTCAACTGATAATTAGTGTCAAGACATGTTGTTCATAGTATATAAGTAGTATATTTGGATCTGTTAATTGATATCACTTTGCGTTGGCTTGGGGGTGACCGACTGACTAACTGACTTACTTACTTTACTTTACTTCGGCTATCTCCTACGGGAGGATGAGCCGGCTTCATGAACATCTCGAAACATCGCTGCCCAGGCGCGGCGATCTGATGCAAGAGAGTTCATGAAGTTTCATGGGAATTTGGTACGAGTGATGTCCCCAGAATCGCTCGGCCTTTTGCTTGAGAGTGCAGCTCTAGCCTTTACACAACCAAGTGTGACCTACAAGGCAGTAGGAATGGAGTAGGGAGTCCACTATCCATTGGCAGCCGGTGACCGGAGTTCGGTTCATACGCCTTTTTGAATGGGGCCAGACATCCAGGACATCCAACAAGCCCTTTGTCCATACGTCTGCCGGTTAGCTCCAGTGAGCTTCATACGCCAGTCGTTGGAGGTTTGGAATCAGGGTTTAGCCATCTCCCCTAGACTGTCATCCAATGGACAGTCAACCCGGTGAAGAGCGCCGGGCATCCGCTTTCGCCCTCTCACTTTGGTGAAAAACACCTCCGCCACGTGAAGGCAGTGAATAGGACTTCCTCAGGAGAGGCTATGTAAGCCGCCCGGTCATATGGGAGCATTTCAAGAGGTGTGCGGAGGGGTGGCCAACCCGCAGCGCAAGGCACCCACCCCCGACCATCCTGAGGCTTTGGAGGCGACTAACTGACTGGCTTCAGCATAGAACATTGAACAGAAAGGCGCTATTTGAAGTTGTCACAGCCCGTGTAGCACAAAAAGGAAGACAAGAGGGAGAGGGAGAGAGAAAACACATTCAAAAGAACGATAATAAGCAGAAATGTGACAGGGAAAGAATAGTGGGGGTGGGAAAACACTAGGGTTTAATGGCTGTGGGAGATCGCAAAGAGTGAATGGATCTGCGCCGCAGCTGAGAACGATTTCGAGCCCAAACACTAATTTTCTCCAGCCACTGATTCTTAGAATCCCCCAGGATTCCAACCTGACAGCAGTCTACACCTCCTTACGTGGCTGAAATTTGCTGTCAAAGATTTCATGCATGCACTGATCCCATGTTTTAGTTTGACCATTACTAGCTCTTTGCCAACTTGATTCTATGTCACTTTACATTGGCCGTCGTGGAAGGCGATGGCTAGTCATGTGTAACACATGTCCTAATCATCCCAACCGATGTGACTGCACAACCTTGTTGATTGACTTTCCCTCCTTAGCTAAGACTGTGCCTAACCTCAATATTACGCACCCTATTTTACCACTTAACATGGGAGATAGGACAGCTAGCGTTTTCATGTCTACCACTTTTAGTGGTGATGTCTCACTGTGCCATTAAGGAGGATGGTAGACACACACTGACATTGCAAACATCCCAATACGCTTTACTACTTCGCTCTCTATCTTTAAGCTAGGAGTCGTTATAGTCCAGTTAAGTAGCATCATCTTACATATGACAAGAGCGAATCACATGCCAAACATTAGAAGATCGCTACTCAAGGTGTTCAGAAGACTCTGCATTTTATCAGCGTCCTCACCTAGAAGGACAATATCATCCGCATATTCCAAATCATCGAGACTATATCCTTAAGTCGTCAAAGTTTGAAGCACCTCACTGGGTACACCAAGCCGACTATATGGACAAACATTCGTCAATGACATTAAGCTGGCGAAGGGGCTGTATGTTGCGAATTGGCAGATGTTAGACTACACGGACCAGTGGATTCGTCCCAGTAGTTGAATAGTCAACAAGCTCTCCTTGTGATGTGGCGGTCCTTGTTTTTATCCCTGGTGGATTGATGAGGACATATACTGCTGAAGAATCCCAATTTATGACGAAATAGTTGTCCAGTAATCTCTGGTTTTCAGTGGTTCTCTTAGTGATGACAACTTCTTGGTCTAACTTTTCAATAAATTGTTGAATGAAATGAATTAAACTAAACCCGTCGAATATATGCAATTAACAATGATGACACCAAGTGAATCATATCAGTGTGTACCATTCATTCTGTTATTTACTTAATGTCAATTTCTGGGACATACTACTCATGCACATGTCGGGTTCACCCTGATTGTCGATGGTCCTAAAATTCCACACTAGATAATGATAAGTAGTATAAGTGGCTCTACAGTACTCGTATTAATTATATACTATTCCCAATAAAATTACATTTTCTAATATTACCAACAAGAAACTATGGGAACAAACAAAACAAGAACCAATCGCCCAACAAATATGCAGGAGAAAGTGGAGATGGATTGGACACTTGCTGAGGAGGCCGCTGGGTGACATCGCGCGTCAGGCCAACGCTCGAGTGGAACCCGAAAGGGAAGCGGCGAGTGGAACGTTCAAGGGTGACATGGAGGAGATCGTGTGAAGAGGAGCTGAAACAGTATGGACTAACATGGATGCAGGTGAAAAGTACAGCAGAAGAGAGAAGCAAGTGGAGACGTGCAGTTGAAGCCCTATGTTCCACTAGGAACCCAAGGGAACAATAATAATAATATTATCATAATGCTGTTCTAGAAGAACAAATAAATTCTACCGAACTCGACCTCAAGTTGACATGTGGGCTCCTTGCGCAGATGCTTCGACAATGTCTGATTATTTTTAACTTGAAGTGAATTGGTGGGTGGCGATTAACAGTATTGTATCACCGGGATATTCCTAATTGAATTAAATAATTACTAATACCCGCTGCGCAAGAGGTGGTTCTCGTCGCCCAAGAGGTCTAGTGGATAGCGCTTTGGCATGTCAAACTATAAGGGTACTGGGTTCCAGCCTCAGTGGAGACACCATAACTGTGTCACTGGGGAATGCAGGCATATCCAGCTAACTGACGAGTCCCATATAGGACTAAGTGAGCGTTGTTCTGGATTCCACTGCTAGTCACTATCCACCAATTTACTTCAAATAAATTCTACAAAAGCCTGAATTTTCATTCATTCTATCAGTATGCACATCTTTAGATCAGGAATATGGATGATAGCTGGGTTTATTTTTCGCTCATAGTATGAACACTGAGTCTCTTCATAAAACCAGTTTTTCAATGAAATAAGAGTTCTTAATTATCCTATTTTAAGACTTGACTTAATTTGAATGAATGTAGGTAGATAAACAGATAGATAGGTAAGTATCTAGCAGGGATAAGTCTATAATTCGTCTGTATAGGGTCGCTGTGTGGGAAGACACGGGGGTGGGCATTGGCTTAAGCACTCCAGGGTTCGAATCCTGCTCCACCTCTTTCAACCTAAGCGGCTAACTGAGTAGTATGAACAGCCTCTACACATGATCAATGTGACTAGAACATGAGAATCCTGTACGGGAAACTCAGTGTCAGCCAATACAGGTTGTTGTAATCCTAAAGAGAGCATAATAATGAAAGTGAAATAATATTAGAAGTCTGAGTTTTTCTAAAAAAAATGTATACTATTTCAAATTAATTCAACTAAGTTTACTTGACATTTCCAACGATTATGCTTACAAAGAAAGGAACTGACTGATTGACTTAGTTTCAACACAGAACAGTGCAATGAAGTTGCCATGTTGCCACAACCCATGTAACACACAAAGGGAGAAAGAATAATAACAAGGGAAGAACATTAATAGATATGAGAGGTCACAAAGAGTGAATGCATCGGTGCCATTGAGAAGGATTTTGAGCCAGCCATATCACCAATTGTCCCCAGCTATTATTATTATTATTGTTCCCTTGGGTTCCTAGTGGAACATAGGGCTTCAACTGCACGTCTCCACTTGCTTCTCTCTTCTGCTGTACTTTTCACTTGCATCCATGTTAGTCCATACTGTTTCAACTCTTCTTCACACGATCTCCTCCATGTCACCCTTGGACGTCCCACTCGCCGCTTCCCTTTCGGGTTCCACTCGAGCATTGGCCTGACGCGCGATGTCACCCAGCGGCCTCCTCAGCAGTGAGTGTCCAATCCATCTCCACTTTCTCCTGCATATTTGTTGGGCGATTGGTTCTTGTTTTGTTTGTTCCCATAGTTTCTTGGTGATTCTTTCCGGCCATCTGATCTTCAGTATAGAACGAAGACAGCTGTTGATAAAGGTCTGCAACCTGTTGGAAATATTCTTTGTGACCCGCCAAGTTTCTGATCCATATAGAAGAACTGACTGACTTGACGTTTGTATTGAAAATCCGAATTTTGTTGTTGATGCTGAGGAGTGACGAAGATTTCCAGATTGGTTTCAGGTTGATGAATGTGTTTCTCGCCTTCCCGATTCTCGATTTGACATCTTCGTCCGTTCCTCCTGTAGTTGAGACAATGCTCCCTAGATAAGTGAATGAAGTAACCTCTTTCAAATCCCTCCCGTTGATGGTGATTGGCGCTGGATGTTGCTGCTGCTGTTGTTGTTGTTGTTGGTTGGTTATTTTCATAACCTCCGTCTTGTCTATGTTCACCTGGAGTCCTGTCTTTGCTGCTTCTTCGACCAGTTTGTCGGTTTTCGCTTGTAAGTCTTCGATTTTGTGTGACATCAAACATAAATCATCCACGCGCGAAATCCAGGTCTTCTAGGTTCTTCACGTCGGTCCAGGATATCCCTGTCTTCTCGTTTCCCACTGTCTGACGCATAATCCAGTCCAGTCCACCACAATTAGGAATATCATTGGTGATAATAAGCACCCTTGTCTGACTCCTGTGTCCCCAGCTATTGATTCGTACTATCTCGAGGACCCCAACCACCAGTCAGGAAGTCTACACCCCACCCTACATGGCTCAAACTATCTACTAAGTTTTGGTTTGTCCATCATCACTAGCTCTTTTTCAATCTGATCCTATGTCACATAACATTACCCGTCAAGGAATGCAATGAATGGCTAAGCAGGCATGCGTAACACATGTTCTAACCATCTCAATCGATATAGCTTCACACAACTTCTTACCTAACACTCGATGCCTAACTTCAATAATACTCACTCTGTTATACCACCACCTAACACGTGAGTCAGAATGCAGATAATATTGAAATATGCACATACGATTTTGTATTAATTACTGTTGAGTAGTGTGTACCGCATGCCTATTAAATTAATCCCCCCGCCCTCTTTCTTATTTTACTTTGACTTATTAAATAATCTTTCAGTCGAATAGTAGTGCTCGAAGAAAAAATCGAATGAAAGCTCCATTTGGAGATGAAGATATACAAATTGTATTTGCTTTACCCGGTGGAAATGATGTAAGTAAGCTAATAATTTTTAACCCCATATCCCCCTTGTCTTTAATAAATTTTTAGCACTTTCAGCGACGCGCATCACTTAGTAGAAAGTAAGTTTATGAATTATGAGATGATAATGATAATAAATTTACTCGCATTGCTTAATTTTCTTTCAAAAGAACTGCATTCATATACGATGAACGTATGTTACTGCATAAGAATAAATGGTTTCCTAATTTTGTCGAATGTCCTGAACGACTGTCTACTGCCTTGGATAAATGTACAACGTATGGATTATTGTCACGCTGTTTAATTATAAATGTAAGTTACAATTATGTAATTGATTGTGTTACCCCCCCCCCCCCATTATACACTGATGGATTATTATTTGAACTGAAGTCATACGCCACAACTCTACGTAAAGTATCGATCTTGATTGCATAATGGTGTGTATCCTCCACCTGTCACATGAAAGGCCCGGGTTCTGTTCTCGGTCAAGAGCTCTGTCTTGCATCAGTGATTCAGCGGTAAAATACTCGCCAATTGTGCACGTAGTCTCTGGTTCGATTCCCTGTCGATGCATCATTCGTGAGTCTCGCCAAGATCGGTAAACAGGAGGGGGGTTGGGCATGAGACGATCAGCAGCTCCACCACGTGAAAAATTATGGATAAACACCTCTGCTACTGAAACTTTAAAGCTCAAGTTTTGAAGGCCTATCTTCCACTTGGAATTACAAAGGAACAAAATAAATTTTAGTGGTCACTGCTAACGGATAGCCCTGTATTCCTTATCCACTTTGCTTATTATTATTATTATTATTCCCTTGGGTTCTGAGTGGAACATGGGGCTTCAACAACAGATCTTCACTTTGTTCTACTTTCTGCCGTCCTCTTCATCTGGTTAGCCACACGATTGCCCATAATCTCTCATCTCCTCTTCGCACGATCTCCTCCATGTCACCCTCGCATCGACGATCCACTCATCGCTTCAGATTTAGATTCCACTGAGCGATGGCCTGCATTGTGCGCGATATCATTCGACGGCCTCCTCAATATATGCCCGACCGATCCACCTCCATTTTCTCCTACATATTTGTTGAACGATCGACTCTTGGTTGGTTTGTTCCCAGTCAGAGTTTCTTGTTACTAATTCTTTCTGGCTGGCCAGTCAGCCATTTGGTCTTCAGTATGGAGCCAGCGAGGGGGGCAGCTGTTGATAAAAGTCTGCATGCTGTTGGAAATGTTTTTCGTGACAAGCAATGGAAGGTTTTCACCCGTATAGAAGGACCAACTTTACATTTGTGTTGAAAATCCGAATCTTGTTGATTACGCTGAGTGCACTGCAGAAGATTTCCAAACTGGTTTCAGATATATGAAGGCGTGTCTTGACTTTCTGATTCTGACTTTGATATCTTCATCCATTCCGTCTGCCTGTAATTGAAACGATGCTTCCTAGATAAGTAAAGGAAGTGACCTCTTTCAATTTTCTCCCTCTGATGGTTATTGGTGCTGGTTGTTGTTGGTTGGTTATCTTCATCACCTCCGACTTGTCTACGTTCTTTTCCTTCTAGGCGAGGACGCTGACAAAATGCAGAGTCTACTGAACACCTTGAGCAACAATCTTCGTATGTTTGGCATGCGATTCGCCCCTGTAAAATGTAAGATGATACTGCAGGATTGGACTTCACCGACCCGTAGATTAGAAATAGGAAATGAAGTGGTAGAGCACGTTGACCGCTTCACTTACTTGGGAAGTACCATCAGCCAGCCCCAACGGGTTGATCTCCGACGAAATCTCAGCACGAATACAGAGGGCCAGTTTCGAATATGTCAGTTTACGTCGTCTCTGGCGTAGACGTGATATCCGACTATCGACCAAAGGGCGTGTGTACTGCTCAACAGTCCGCTCCGTCCTCCTTTATGGCTGTGAGACCTGGCCATTGAGAGCAGAAGACACGAAAAGATTAGCTGTGTTCGATCATAGGTGTCTGCGTTCTATCTCCCGTGTGAAGTGGTATAATAGGGTGAGCAATATTGAGGTTAGGCGTCGAGTGCTAGGTAAGGAGGGGAAATCAGTCGACGAGACTGTGAAATTACATCGGCTGAGATGGTTAGGACATGTGCTACGTATGCCTAGTCATCGCCTTCCTCGACGGGCAATGTTAGCTGATATAGTGTCAGGCTGGAAAAGAGCTAGCGGCGGTCAAACGAAAACATGGCACCAGTCAATGAAATCCACAACAGTTAGTTTAAGCTAGCCACGTAGGAAGGTGTAGACTTCCTGACTGGTTGGGGTCCTCGGGACGGTAAAAACCAATGGTTGGAAACAATTAGTGACATGGCTCAAAATCGTTCTCAATGGCTGGCTGGCGCAGATGCATCCACTCCTTGTGACTTATGATTTCCAATGAAACTGTTTTGTTCTCCGTTATTACTATTCCTTTGTCTCACACCTCTGTTTACTGTCTCTATTATGGATTTCTCCTACTTTCTTCTCTTGCTTTGTGTGCTGAGTAAAGTATGGCGACTTGAACAGCCGCACATCAGTGCGAAGTTCTATGTCGAAAACCGACTGACCGACCTATGTTCACCTGAGGTCCTGTCGTCGCTGCCAGCTTCTTCAACGAGTTTGTTGCTTTTCGCCTGTAAGTCTTCGAGTTTGTCTGACATTAGACATATGTCATCTGAGAAATCCAGATCTTCTAGATGGAGTGTTCTTATCGTTCAACTTATTCCTGTCTCCTTGCTCCCCACAGTCTAATGCATAATCCAGTCCACGACAATTAGGAATATCATCCGTGGTGATAATAAACAGCCAGCTTGTTTTACTCCTGTATTCACCTCGAACGTCCCGCAGAATAGCTTATGAGCAACACTATCTAAGGTGGTTGCTTTGGGTCAAAATAGTGTCACCGATATAATGGAGGTTTGATTTGAGATGGATTGAAAATCTAACTAGCGATAGATTATCTGCCTATCTTTTTACGGACAGATTAGCATTGATCATTGGTCTAGGCAGACACTCGGCCTCCCACCAAATGTGTCTCTGGTCCTAACTCCTCTCAATTCTGGCTGGCTGCTTGGATTCAACATAGAACTTGGCACCGAAGTGCAGCAGTTCCAGTTGCCACGTTCCAAATAACACACAAAGGTAGACAAGAAGATGAGTGAAGAGAATCAATAGAGTTTTGACAAGTATAAGAGTGAAACAGAATGAGTAATTGTAGAAAGGAATATGAAAGATTACAGAGACTGAATACATCTGCGTAAGCCATTGACAACGATTTTGAGCCATGTCACCTAGTGTCTCCAGCCATTGATTCTTAGAGTCCCGAGGGCCCCAACCAACCCGGAAGTCTGCATCTCCCTACCTGACTCAGTTTAACTGTCAGGGATTTCATGGATTGATTGATGCCATGTTTTTGTTTGGCCACCACTTACTCTTTTCCAACCTGCACCTATATCAGCTAGTAATGCCCGTCCGTCGGGGGAGGCGATGGTTAGGCATGCGCAGCACGTGACCTAGCCATCTCAATCTATGTAACTTTATAGCCTCTTCGATTGATTTTCCCTCTTTGCCCAACACTACGCCTAACGTCAACATTACTTACCTTATTATACCACCTAACGCGAGAAAGAGATCGTAAACATCTGTGGTCAAAAACAGACAACCTTTTCATGTCTTCAACTCGTATTGGTCATGTTTCAGAGCCATAGAGAAGGACGGAGCGAACTGCTGAGCAGTACACACGTCCCTTGGTTGATAGCCGGATGTCACGCCTACGCCAGAGATGGTGTAAGTTAGCGAAAGCAGCCCTAGCTTTTTGGATCCGTGCTGTGATTTCGTCACCAATCAATCCGTTGGTGCTGATACAACTTTCCAAATAGATGAAGTGGTCAACATGTTCTATCACTTCACTCCCTATCACTAAGCTAGGAGTTGACGTAGTCCAGTCCTGTAACAGTATCTTACATTTTACATGGGCGAATCGCATGCCAAACATACGAAGATTGCTGTTCAAGGTGTTCAGAAGACTCTGCATTTTGGTGTGGTTGTGTTCTCTGAGCTGGATGGTTTGGTTGGGAAGCTTTCATTGCTCTACTGAGCAACATCTTCAGCGCATACTTCGATGTGAAGTGAGCTTTTAGAATTCTCTATGAGTTTATTAGTCATCTCTTCTAGTAACCTTGAACGTGATTGGTTGTTTTCGTGTGACATTTCATGCCCTAGTTTGCTTGTCTCGATGCTACATGCAGACAACCATGGGCACCAATTCGACTGGGACAATGTTCAAATCTTAGACAAAGGGAACTGCAAAAATGCCAGAGAATTCCTAGAGGCCTGGTATTCAAATGAATCAGCAATCAATAGACACATAGAGATTGACAAAATATACCAATCGATACGAAGAAATTCACACAAAAACAAAGTCAGACTTCAGGTCAAGGAAACAGTCAACACCAAAACAAGTGAACTAGAAAGTGAGAAGTCACACAAAAACAACCAATCACGTTCAAGGTTAGCAGAAGGAATGACTAACGACATTCAACCAAAGAAGCAGCCAGCATCGAGACAAGCAAACTAAGGGATGAAATGTCACACGAAAACAACCAATCACGTTCAAGGTTACTAGAAGAGATGACTAATAAACTCATAGAGAATTCTAAAAGCTCACTTCACATCGAAGTATGCGCTGAAGATGTTGCTCAGTAGAGCAATGAAAGCTTCCCAACCAAACCATCCAGCTCAGAGAACAAATACTCTGCATTTTGTCAGCATCCTCCCCTAACAGGACTATGTCATCTGCATATTCTAAGTCCATAAGACTATTCCCTGGTAACAAGTCGATTCCTAAGTCGTTAAGTTCAGTTAATTTATCTCAATTCTATCAAATAGTCAGTCAGAGTTATAATATTTTGTTTTCATGCATGTAATACAGCATATATTAGTAAATGCTTTAGCTAAATTATTAACTATTTTCTCCACTAATATACGTGTGTACATCATATTTCTTATTTGTTTAATTTAGCCTGAACCAGCAAATGATGAAATGCTTTCACGTTTTCATAACATGGAATACATTGAACAAATTAAGCGTACTACATCAATGCCTGAGAATGAGTTGAAAGAGTTAAGCGCTACCTTGGATTCTGTTTATTTCAATGAGGTAAGTCTACTGTGCATGTATATAACATCACACCATGAAATCTTTAACAGTTAGTTTTGTAATAATGGTAGAAGACAAGAGAGACAGGGGAATTATGTACACCTTCTATCTTCAAATCACCATCTGCAGAGATCTTCCGTGTTGTGCTACTTCTTACCTTCATATTGTGTGTGTTTCTTTGTGTTCCTTTCACGTCTCACATGTATCTGCGCAACGCTGTATCATTTTCTCTCTTTGACGTCAAATCTATCTCTCGGCTATTTAATATTTTTGTGCTGATGAACGTCTTTTTATATACTACTTATCAATCTTATCAGTAGCACAAAAACACAGTTTGAGCCAGCCATATATAGAGGTGTAGATCGCCTGGTTGAGGTCTTCGGGAGGGTAAGAATCAGTGGCTGGAGACAGTTGTAGGTGATGCAGCTTGAAATCGTTCTCAGTGGCGCAGATGCATTCATTCTGTGGGATCTGCCATATCCAATAAAACCCTGTTGTTTTTCCATGTTAATATTCTTTTCCTCTCAGATTTCTGCGCTTATTATTATCATCATCATTCTTTCGAATCTCTTGTTTCCTCTTTTGTCTTCCTTTGTATGCTACTTGGAGGGAGTGTAGGGCAACTGGAACTGGTGTACTTCTGTGCAAAGTTCTCTGTTGAAATCAGCCAATCAGCCGGTCAGTCAGTCAGACATGCGTGCATTAATTCACGTTAATGTTATTGCTTCGAAAGTATGCGCTTGTCGACATTGCATAGTTTTACTGCCTAAAATATGAACACTGATTATACGAATAGCCTATCTGTTTATGCCCAAACACCAATTATTATTATTGTATTATTATTCCCTTGGGTTCCTAGTGGAACATAGGGCTTCAACTGCACGTCTCCACTTGCTTCTGTCTTCTGCTGTACTTTTCACCTGCATCCATGTTAGTCCATACTGTTTCAACTCCTCTTCACACGATCTCCTCCATGTCACCCTTGCCTGACGTCCCACTCGCCGCTTCCCTTTCGGGTTCCACTCGAGCACTGGCCTCCTCAGCGAGTGTCCAATCCATCTCCACTTTCTCCTGCATATTTGTTGGGCGATTGATTCTTGTTTTGTTTGTTCCCATAGTTTCTTGTTGGTGATTCTTTCCGGCCATCTGATCTTGAGTATAGAGCGAAGACAGCTGTTGATAAAGGTCTGCAACAGGCTGTTGGAAATATTCTTTGTGACCCGCCAAGTTTCTGATCCGTATAGAAGAAACTGACTTGACGTTTGTATTGAAAATCCGAATTTTGTTGTTGATGCTGAGTGACGAAGATTTCCAAACTGTGCGTATAATAATATTAGGACTCGTGTTCGATAATGAAATGCTATAAGCAACTCTACTGAAGTTCCATTATTGCTCATAATCAAATGATATGATTATGAATAATAAATTGTGCTCGAAACGTGGTCATCAGTAGATATTACTGTATAACACTGTGTGACTTTATTAAAATAAATTTCATCCATAATGGAATTATACTCTACTCTACAACAGTACACAAGTTCTATCCTTTTATCAACTCTACTGAATAAGACTGAATACAACTGCATTCCCTTAATATCTTCTGCTGTTCAGACTACCGGGAGAAGTCAGAAGACGAGAGTTGTCTGTGCCGATGAGAACAGCAACAATGTTATTGGACAAAAATAAATCCAGTGTGAATAGTTGATTAACTTCGTTTGATTGGTTTAGAATGAGATGAAGAACTGTCCAATCACGTTATAACAAAAGCCCTATGGCTTAAAATGTTGATTCTGGTTTAAAACGATTTTAACCTGTTTTAGCTTGTTTCAACTGCTTCCCATCACTTGTTTTTATGGAAGAAGGAGAGACATTCTCTTAACGCAAAATGTGACAGTACCATGTCAAAGTTTATACTGACAAATATCTTCCCTTCTTCGTGATTTTAACTGCGATTTGTTGCCCCTGATGATTCTGTTATCATTGTATTCACGTATGTATTGGTGTTAATTGCCCCCCTGCTGACATGATATTTGACCTTTTGATCGTATATGCTCCTAAGATATTGTATGGCCCACAGTACATAGGGTTTCAGTAACATATCTCCATTTCCTCCTGAAACAATCTCTAATCCAAACTCAACTCGTCGTTTCCCATTCGCATCCTCCTCGAAGGTCTGACGCGTGGTGTCACTCGATGATCTCTTCAGAGTATGTCTAATCCATCTCCATTCCTTTCTGCATATTTCTTGGGCGTTAGGTTCTTGATTGGTTCGTTGCAAGGGTTTCTTATCGCTTATCCTTTCTGGCTAGCCGTCTGATAGTTCCTTTCAATTGTGAAACAGCCGTTGAAAATGAGCGATTTGATAAAAAGATTAACTGTTAGTTGGTACAGTATTGTCAGTAATACATAGATAATAAGTAGAGTCATGGGTATAGATTGTCTGATTGCCGTTTCCAAGATGCTAAGATCTAATTGATTAGAGAGTGTCGGTGATATTGCTCAAAATCTTTGTTTTACTGACGCAGATGTATTTAATTCCATACTAACTTATTTATTTGATATATCACACATTGAAGAAACAGTATTATTGTTTACTGGATGACAAAGTTTCAAACACAATTTATTCGTGTACATAATCATATCAATTATAATCACATAATTTCGAAGCTTTCGTTTTATAGTTTTGTTTATTCCTTCCTATTTTTCGTAGGAGTAGTAGAATTCTCCAGATGTCCTGGTGGACAGGTGTTGAATCATTTCTATTACACGTATTTGCAGTTGATTCGATAACAAAGGGAATAAAATATATAGATAGGGAATATAAATCATCATCAGTAGTACTTCCATACAAAGAAGGAACCTCTTCATCAGTACGCTGAAGAGTCCCAAACTAGGACGAAACAGCTGTCCAGTACTCCCAGGTTTTCCAGTGGTTCTCTAACTGATGTCAGCTCATGATGAAATCCTCCATACAATTTAATCTAGATTAGTTGACCCTAATAAGATAGGGAATCTGGAGAATAGTTCAGCTATACTACTCACTACATGCAGTCACACAACCATACAATAGGATGGGATATGATGACAGTTTTAAAATCGAATGTAACAGCAGGATGTAGGAAGAGGTTGATTACAACGGAAGCTTTGTTTATCGAATCAATTGCAAATGCATGTATTAGGAATGATTCAACACACATCCAGTCGGACGTCTGGAAAATTCTACTACCCCAAAGACGACAAATAGGAGAGAACAAAGAAAACTATTAAACTCAAGTTTTGAAATCGTGTGATTATAATTGATATGATTATGAACAATAAATTTTGTTCGAAACGTCATCCAATAAACAATACTGTTTCACTGTGTGATACGTCTAATAAACAAACTAATATGGAATTACTTACTACCACAGTGCCCAAGTTTGACACATATATTACTATGGCAGATGTATGTACTCTCTGTATTTTTGTAAATCCATTAAATTTTTTTTTGGTAATTGGAGGCAGTTAGCTGGAAGCCCTTGCCTGACTCAGGTGTTTCGTGCTTGTTGGCACACTCATCAACCAGTCAGCAAGGCGTATCTGCAACTACCTTGAAGAAATTCATATCCCTTCTAAGATTTTGAACCCGTGTCATCCAGTGCTGGAGTCAGAGACGTTATAACTGAGTTATTTAGGCTAGCGATTGACTCCCTTTGGGACTGTTATCGATACTTTGATTGAACACTAGGCAGTAACTAATGTCATGGATGTAGTTCTTCGTCTGATGTAGACGGAATCGTATCAGCCTATCCATTAATTACACGCTAATCTCTCTGTAATTTGTTTATGTGTAAAGTGTCATCGGTGTTATGTGTACATTTCCAAAGCGTATCAACTTGATTTAGCCGACATTTTGTGCAAACTTCTACATTGATAATTCAGTTCAATGCCCAAATTCTTTTATTTTTTTATTGCTATAATGAATAGCTTTTACTCCCCCCCCACACACGATTTGAATAACATTTACTTAACTCTAATATTGAATGCATTAAAGACACGTGACGAAATCTCAGCACGGATCCAAAAAGCTCGAGCTGCTTTCGCTAACTTACACCGTCTCTGGCGTAGGCGTGACATCCGGCTATCAATAAAGGGACGTGTGTACTGCTCAGCAGTTCACTCCGTCCTTCTCTATGGCTCTGAAACGTGGCCAATACGAGTTGAAGACATGAAAAGGTTGTCTGTTTTTGATCATAGATGTCTACGATCTCTTTCTCACGTTAGGTGGTATAATAAGGTAAGTAATGTTGACGTTAGGTGTAGAGTGTTGGGCAAAGAGGGAAAATCAATCGAAGAGGCAATGAAGTTACATAGATTGAGATGGTTAGGTCACGTGCTGCGCATGCCTAACCATCGCCTCCACCGACGGACGGGCATTACTAGCTGATATAGGTGTTGTGGGTTGGAAAAGAGTAAGTGGTGACCAAACAAAAACATGGCCTCATCAATCCATGAAATCCTTGACAGTTAAACTGAGTCAGGTAGGGAGATGCAGACTTCCGGGTTGGGGCCCTCGGGACTCTAAGAATCAATGGCTGGAGACAATAGGTGACATGGCTGAAAATCGTTGTCAATGGCTTACGCAGATGTATTCAGTTTCTGTAATCTTTCATATTCCTTTCTACCATTACTCATTCTGTTTCACTCTTATACTCGTCAAAACTCTATTGATTCTCTTCACTCATTTTCTTGTCTACCTTTGTGTGCTATTTGGAACGTGGTAACTCGAACTGTTGCACTTCAGTGCCAAGTTCTATGTTGAATCCAGCCAGCAAAGACATATGAGCAGTCAATATGTGTATGTGGGTGTGTGTTATTATTCCACTATTACTTGTTATTAAAAATCAGTCATCTCTTGATCCCTTTTTCTTATTTTCTGATTCCATCACACTTATAGCACACTGATTTATCCGCAAGATTATCTGTTGGATCATGGATACAAGCAGTGGATTTAGTTCATCGTGGAGATGTTAGAAATGCTTTCTGTTTAGTCAGGTATGTCATATCCTCTCATTTGAGTATGCTTTTCTAGTTTGGTTGGTTGGTTGCTTGGTTTGTTTGTTTGGGTTGGTTAACGAGAATTACAGTATATGTTTATATAGTATAGTACAGAATTCCCTGAACGGGATCCCGAAGTGAAATAATATAATAATAGATGGCGTATCACAGAATGCAGTATACTGTATATAAAGGCAAATCTTCATCTGCCTTGCTTACTGAAGCTGGAGTCCCTCAATGTGCTGTTCTCTCCCCCTTTTTTCTCTCTTTCTTCTTACATGACTCACCTCTTTCAGATCTGACTGTTTCAAGCAGTATAGCTTTTTGTCAAATATCAACCAGTGGTCTAAACTAAATGGTCTTACCTTAAATCCCTCGAAATGTCAGACAATTAACTTCACTTTACGGCATAAACGCGATGTACAAGAACTGGTTTGTTCACATGATTCTTGTAGCATAGAGTTCACTGAAATAGTAACTAAGTCAAGCATAAAATACCTTGGAATAGTTCTTTCCTCTGACCTTTCTTCGTCATCTCATATCTTGTCGATTTCTCAGAAAATGTTCCGTCTGACCTACTATATTAAGAAGTTAAGGCAATCTGGAATTACTCAACCTTTACTTTTACAGTTTGGTAACTCTCGCATCTTACCAATTTGAATTTACTGCTCCTCCGCCTTAGTCTTTACTACTGGGCTACTGAAAAGGACTATGTCATATTGCGCAGGGTTTTAAATATTGTAGGTAGGGTAAGTGGTATGGCACTTAGCCAGCTTGTTACTACTGTAGTCGATAGACACTTGAACTCATGTGAGAAATAATCCAAATCCATATTGTCTGACACTTAACACCCTCTGTGTTCTCAACTCTCCCCTAGCCGCATCTCATCAGGTAGGACTAGAAATCATTACAAAAGATTATATGCTCCTACAACCATATTTCCTCTGCCCGTTGGGGTCCTATGTGATAAAGATAGCGCTAAGTGCGAAACCTACAACTTACTATGCTTTGTTACATTAGCAAAATAATCGGCTCTTTTATTCTCTCCTATTTGTAATCCGTGGTGACACTCACTATTTCAATCAACTTATAATTTTAGCTACGAACATTATCATCACCATCATCAGTTTACACTTTCGGTACATTTTTGACATTACTGACTGTCACTGGTAATACCAAAAAATCTGCTATTATCAATCCTGTAATAATATTTTTCCTTATTCAAGTATTGGTTTATAGGGATTTTGATTGATTGGTTAAAGGATTTCATCATGAGCTGACATCGATTACAGAAACATTGGAAAAACCAACAGGGAGTACTAGATAGCTGTTTAGTCCCCGTTTGAGACTGTTCAGCAGCTATCACCCACCGGGTTTCGAACCCAGGACCTTCTGGTTACAAGGTGGGCTTGTAGCCACTGGGACCCTATCCAATGACCAGTGCATGAATTCCAACTTCTGCCAGTTCACGACATAGGGTGTGAGGACGAATGCTCTCCTAAGACATTGGCTAGTGATTGCGCTATGTCGTGAAATGGTAGAAGTGGCCATTGGATTGGGTCCCAGTGGCTTAATGGTCTACAAGCCCACCTTGTAACCGGGAGGTACTGGGTTCGAACCCCGGTGGGTGATTACCGCTTAAGATTCCCAAACTAGGCTGACGAAACAGATGTTCAGTACTCCCTGTTGGTTTTTCCAATGGTTCTCTAACAGATGTTAGCCCATAATGAAATCCTGTAACCAATATATATTAATATTTTTTCTACTTTTGGTTTTGCTATTGTTAAGTAAATTAGATGGAATATTGTAGCAAATGCTGATAATTCCACACTGTATCATATCTACTATTTTGGAATAAAGCAAATTATTATTATCATTATTATTCAATCTTAAGCATATATTCCAATTCTCCACGATGTTTTTCCTTCATTTCCTTTATAAAAAAATGCACAGTTTTAGGTTGAGAGCGATTTTTCATAATGCTCATAAGTATGTATTTATAGATTGCTGTTACTCAACAACGACTCAAATTGAATATGATTAAAACATATGATGATGATGATGATAATGAAATTGAAGGAAGTGTGATGCTCTATGCTAGATGGAAAACTAAACAGTCTAATGATTGAAACGAGGTCAGCATCAATCTGGTGATGAAGTGTCATTATTGCGTCATATCCCCCTTTTTAGCCTCTATCTCTTCGTAAAATTAATACTTCAGATTTCCTAGTGATGTCCAGTATACGAACTAATCATTCTTTCATCCCAAGTGGAACAGTAGCCGTGGTGTTGTTTTTACAGGATGGGTTTGCTAACTTCAAGCCCAGCTTTCCTTCTTATATGTACTTACTGCTTGTTAGTAAACTAGACGAGGTGTCGGAGTACGTCCCTGGGAATCAAGTCCTGATCGCCAAGCTTGGTTAGCGATCATTTCTACCATTCAACCACAAAAGCACAGAAAAACAATGGAGTACTGGTTAACCGTTTTGTCATATTTTAACACTCTTCATCAGCATGCATTGATAACCCCACTGGAGATCGTCGAACCCAAGAACCTTCAGGTTAAATATTTCAAGGTTATCATAGGTCACTGTCTTTAATCCTTAATTCCGATGTTAATCAGTAAAGCCGACTTCAAAGTTGATCTTATCCGGAACCATTCGAAATCCAGAAGCATACACTAGTTTATGACCTTCCAAATACTGGTCAACTAAAAAATTCCTTCCTCTGATAAAGTGAATTATTCATGCTTCTTCGGACAATTCTTCCAGAAGGAAATCTTCACAATCGCCTCAACAAGTTTGATGGACAAATGTAGAAACCTGTTCAGTTCTTTTACCGTGGAACGGTCCTTGCTATTCTTCAAATCATGGAATATACATATACATAAGATCATAGGAACCATCTTTCTAATATTTCCTATGATCTTAAGTGAATTATATCACAACCGTCAAGCTACTGGATGATGGTGACGCTGTATATCGCAAATTGATAAAAGTTATACGCCGCCTATAGTGCGTCGATACTTCAGTGGTAGAACAAATACCAACCACTGACAACGTGGTACGGGGTCCGATTCCCACACTATACACTCCTGAAAACTCGCTTGGTCGGTAGTAAGCCTGGTAAAGAGAAAAGGTTGGACGTAAGGCTAAGAACCCTACCATGTGAAAAAGAAACACCACTGATACCTAAACTTCAAAAGTCAAGTTTGAAGTCCTATGTTCTGTTCTGCTGTACTCAAAGAAATAAAATAAATAAACCTCACTCATCTCGTGACGCGATCATCATAATCATCATCCCGATGATGCGTGTCTCTTTCTACTCAGCTGCAATGTCACTCAGTGAGCATTGACGGCGCCGTTGGTGCAGCGGTAGACTGCTCGCCAACCACGCATGTGGTCCGCGGTTCGATCCCCAGTCGACGCACTCGTGAACCTCGTTAAACCAGTAATAAGACTGGTAAAGAGAGAAGGTTGGACGTAAGGCTAGGAAGCGAATCCTGTGAAGAAAAACACACCACTGGTACTGAAACGTCAAAAGTCAAGTTTGAAGTCCTATGTTCCGTTCGGTACACGCCTATTGGTTACTAGATGCCCGACCCCAGTGCCTGAAAATGTTTATGTAGAGTTCCTGTAGTGTGAAATTCTAATTATTCAGTTATATAATAGTTCACATATTATATACGTAACATTTATTTATTGATTTTTTTCTATTCTCTAATGTTTAATTCTACAAATACAGACCCCCAGGTCATCATGCATTGGAGAATGAAGCTTGTGGATTTTGTATATTCAACAATGTGGTGATTGCAGCTCAATATGCTATGGATCAATTGAATTATAATCGGTTAGTAGTAGTAGTACTAGTATATTTTGTATTTATCTTACCCAATATAATAATAATAATTAAAAGTTGATCATATCGACTTCTCTCAGTGGAATGATGAGGTCCACAGATACTTAGTACAAGAATTTTTAATAGGAATGTCAAATTTCATACAGCCTGTTCTCTTTATCAGAAAGTTTGAATAAAGAAAGAACGAATATACATATATATTTGCAAACAAGATAATACGACCTCATTTGCATTTCGTGGATTCTCTTCAACTGCTGCCTACATCCTAAACAATGCCAATTACAATTTAAGTTGCGAAATTTTTGACTGAACATACTTTTTCTTACAATGACTTCAAGTGTTATAGTTAGAAAGTATAAAAAACATTTTGTGCGTCGGTGTTATAGCGGTTAGGACGCTCCCCGACCATGCACATGGTCCGGGGTTCGATCCCCGTCTGACACACTCCTTTACCTCGCTGAGTCAGAAATAATGCTGGTAAAGAGGAAAGGTTGGGCTATGAGGCTAGCAACCCTATCCTGTAAAAGTAAACACTGCTACAGAAACTTCAAGCTAATGGCTTGAAGCCCTATGGTTCCACTGGGGAACGTGAAGGAAAAAAAATAAACAACATAATCCTAAAGTTGATGTAAGTGGACAATTTATGCAGTGTTGAAAGATTAACTATTTACATAATAATTATTAGACAAGGGGATTACAGTTCAAATTCCGCTTGGAAACAAGGTTGGACTATCGATAAAATACAAGATAGAACAACAAAGTTAATTTATACATATTATGGTGGAGAGTTCAGGAGGATGGGGGTGAATAGTAAAGTAGATTTATAGGATAGACCAAAATAATTTGGTAGATTTGGAAGCGTGATAGTGAATTCAACTCAGTGTATTCACTAGTCAACCAATACGTAGTTCAAGAAATAAAGGTAGACTGCCCTGTTTCGCCTCTTCTGTGTGTATTTCACAGTTCAACTGCGCGATCGGAGCTAGTTACATAGGACGTACGATCATGCAAGTTCACCTGCCATCTCGGTTTGGCAATGGTTCGAATAAAGCTGCTATACGCAGCTGAATACTAGCTCATCTCATCGATACTGGACATTGAATTGACTCTGACAAAGCTTTGAAAGTTATTTATCATATCATCATATATTACCAAACCTCTTGCATGGTCTACGAGTACGACTTTTACACACAGCGTAGGCAATCGGAATTCATCTGAACAAGCCAAATCTATGTGTGCTTTCAAAAGAAATTTGTACGGCCCCTTCATCTTTGCCATGGCCAACTACATAATATGTATTAAGTTTTTAAAAACGATTTTTTTCTCCTCCCCTTGTAACTATCTTTTGACTTTGTTAATTTTTACAATTCTAGCTAGTTCTATTAACTTGTCTGAATGTTACGTAACTCGTCTGAGTCATCCTATTCTTCTTAATCATCATTGCTATTTTACAAATTTCTTGATTATGTAATGATTTGTTGCCGACGCCTAAGAATCAACTTATCTTGAATTCTGTAGTTAATTAATTTTCACCCATCTTTTAAAACTTGGATATCTTGTTACTAACATCTATTAGTCATTCGTTTTGATGACCTTTAACCTCTTGATTTCACTCCTGCCTATAACTAAAACTGATTAACTAGCGTAACCAGTAGATTGGTAAAACATTTTGATGTAAAAAGCAACTATACATATTAGTGTAGAGCCAGCCATCCGATGATGAGGAACTAATTGGAAAGGAATGTATATTTCTTCGCTCAATCTGTTTTCTTTTCTAAATACGTAAACGGGAATTTGGAAATTACTAAAATCAAGATTGAGTGGAAAGTTAGGCAACAGAGCAAAACACAAAAACACCCTGGTGACCATAATTGTTTTGTTCGTGTGCTTTTGTGTTTTATCCGGTTGCGTAACATTCAGTCCACTCAATCTTGATTTTGATTTCACTCACTAACTGAGTTGAATTCACTATTACGCTTCCAAATTTACCAAATTATTTTGTCTATCCTTATAAATCTACTTTACTGTTCACCCACCGTATCCTCCTGAACTCTCCACCATAATATGTATAAATTAACTCTGTTGTTCTATCTTGTATTTTTTCGCTAGTCCATCCTTGTTTCCAAGCGAAATCTGAACTGTAGCCCCCTTGTCTAATAATTATTATGTAAATAGTTATTCTTTTAACCCTGCATAATTCGTCTACTTACATCATCAACTTTGGAATTATGTTGTTTATACTTTCTATCTATAACACTTGAAGTCATTGTAAAAAGAAGTATGTTCACAGTCAGAAATTTTGTAACTTGAATTATAATTGGCATTGTTTAGGATGTAGGCAGCAGTTGAAGAGAATCCACGAAATGCAAAATCCATTTCCAACAACCTACTATATACTTTCATTATAACCTGTCATTGTTCGATACTGAAGAGCACATAACCGACCAGAACGGATAAGCTACAAGGAAGTCTGGCAGCGAAGCGACCGAGAAATGGAGATGTTCAAGAGTTAGTTTGTAGGGATTTAATTTGATTCAAGTTCGATCATGGATTGGTCTCAGTTAAAGAATCATTGAAAACCACCAGGGAGTACTGAATGGCTGTTTCCTCCCAGTTTGGGATTTCTAAGCAGTGTGCATCTACCCGATGATTCTGTCTGGTACCGGTCACGCTAAAATCACGAATTGGTAGAAGTTAGAATTCATGGTCTGACCATTGAATCGGATCCCAGTAGCTGAATTTTCTACGAACTCGCCTTGTAACCAGAAGGTCCTAGGTTTGAACCCCGGTGGATACGTACCGCCAGTGAATTCCAAACTAGGACAAAGCAGCTACCCAGTACTCCCTGGTTTTCAGTGGTTCTCTAACTGATATCACTCTGTAGGCAAACTTGAAATGGAGGTGAATTGTGAACATCGGCTAAGCAGACCATCGAGTGACATAACACGCTCGACCGTCGAGTTTTATCTGAATGAGGTTGGGTGTTGACCTAAGGATGACGTGGAGATCACATTGTGGCCATCGCTTCCCTCGATGGGCAATGTTAGCTAACATAGGATAAAGTTAGAAATGAGCTATTGATAGTTAAACCAAAACTTGGCAGGTAGTTCGATTCACGTAGGGAGATGTAGACCGTCTGGTTGAGGTCCTCGGGATTCTAAGAACCAGTGGCTGTAGACAATTGGTGATATGGCTCAAAATCTTTCTCACTTGTGCAGATGCATTCACTGTTTTTGATCTCATATCGATTGAACCCTAATGTTTTTCCATTTTATGAAAGGGATAGCAGAAAGCCGAGTGCGATGGGTATGTGTCACTGAAGCCCTATGAATAATGCACAATAAATTACTACATGCACCCTTTCAATAAAGTGAGGCATAAAGAGACAATTAACATTTTAATGGTTACACCTATGGTTAGTGAATAGGATCACGGTTTTAACTCAGCCCAACAACCATTTGCATTTTTATGCATTTGGCTTTGAGCCACACCTACTATGTGAGGACTAATGATTTTAGCCAGGCTGCCCAAACCTGGACAGGTGGAGCGGGATTCGAAATCCTGACCCAATCGTCGAAAGTCAGGGCCTAGACCAATGAGACACAGCTCAACTTTCTTAGTCATAATGGCAGAATTCATGCAAAATATTATTAAAATCTTGCAAAAGGCTCGGAGAAGTACTTTGATTGGACACTAATAACTAGTGTAATATGTCTAGTCCTATTGTAACAACAGAAGACAAGGGCCAGGCAACAGATCCTTTATTAAGGAAAATCAACACATATTTATAGATTTTAATGTACATTATTGTGGATTATTGTTAGTAGAAAATACAGTCTTTTGATTGGTTGTTTCTCACAGAAAGTTAACCTTGCATCTCTTTGTGGCTGTGTCAGATCATCCATATGCTAACTGTATCCGCCTACGCAAAGCCTTTGTTCTCATTTTCTCACCACCAATATTGGGGACATAAACATTGACGTCAATTACTGTCTACCAACTTTGGCTAGCAGCCAGCTCTCACCACAATATGTTTGCAGATTTAATTCTCTCAGTCAGGTTTGCAATGTGGCCACCATGCAAGTAGCTCGCCATCACGGTGCACTGTGAATTGTTGGTATTAGATGATCAGAGGCAGTTGGCAGGAAGTCTTGTCTAGACCTAGGTTTCGTGTTTGCTGGCACTCATCAGTCAGCAGGGCATATCTGCAACCATGAAGGAACTCAGCCTGACTGATAGAATTCAGTCTGCACCAAACAAAGGACTAGACACATTACACTAGTTACTAACTGCTGTCCAATCAAAGTATCCAATCCAGTCCTCCAGGAGGTCGATCGCGAACCCGAATAGCTCAGTGGTAACATCTCTGACGACAACATTGGCTGATGTGGGTCCAAATCTGAGAAGGGATATGAGTTCCTTCAAGGTTACAGATATACGCCTTGCTGACGAGTGAGTGCCAGCTAGCACGAAACCTAGGTCAAGGAAGGCTTCCTGCTGCCGATTGCCTCCAACCATCTAACATCATCAAATCAATGGGCTTGGAGAAGTGTTTGGTTCTTTTTGAAACCAGCGTATACTTAGTCAGTCAATCAATGACTGACTGGCTGACTGTTTTCAACATAGAACTCTGTACAGTTCGAGTTGCCCCATACTCCTTGTAGCATACGAAGGAAGACAAAAGGGAGTGAAAAAGAGATTCAGAGGAGAGGTAATAAGCAGAAATCTGAGAGGAAAAGAATATTAACAAGAAAAAAAACATTCGGATTTAATTGGTATGACAATTCACAAAGAATGAATGTATCTGCGCCATTGAGAATGACTTTGAGCCGTATCTCCAGTTGTCTCAAGTCACTGGTCCTTAGAATCCCGAGAACACGAACCAAGCAGTATATACTCTCCCTACATGGATGGTTCAAACCAACTGTTAAAGACTTTACGCCAGTGATGGCAGGTTTTTGTTTTGACTACCACTAACTAGCTCTTTTCCAATCTGATCTTATATGAGCTAACATTACCTGCTGTCGACTAAAGGCTATGTCTAGGCATGCGTAACGCATGTCCTAAGCATCGCAATCGATGTAGTTTCGCAACCTCATCGATGAGTAGATCATTATGTCAAGCGGAGATGTGTGGCACATAGCGTTTAGGTACTCGATTGTCAGCCATTAGTTGTCTAGTTTAATTCCTGCTCCTCCTACTCCTACTCCAACCTGGGCTAATAGGTGGTATCATCACCCTCATGCAATAAGTGCGGCGCCCATAGTCTGGTACACAAGAAGTGTGTTCCGAGGAACTCAGTTCAAGATATCATAATTCTGATCGCTTAATGTTTTTGTACACAATATGCTCTCAGCTGTAAAAGTGGCTTGGTCTAACGTTTGATAAGTAAAATTACTATTTTTATAATAAAATGAGTTACTCTTAATCCAAATGAGCATAAGAGTTATATCCATCGATAGTGGGAATGCATTCAAAGTCATATCTCCTGTATTTTTTTTTTCCTTCACGTTCCCCAGTGGAACATAGGGCCTCAAGCTAGTGGCTTGAAGTTTCTGTAGCAGTGTTTATTTTACAGGATGGGGTTGCTAGTCTCATGTCCAACCTTTCCTCTTCACCAGCATTATTTCTGGCTTAGCGAGGTAAAGGAGTGCGTCAGCAGGGGATCGAACCCCGGACCATGTGCATGGTCGGCGAGCGTCCTAACCGCTATACCACCGACGCACTACCTCCTGTATTAGTATGATTGTTATGAGTAGTTGTAGGCAAATGACAACAAGGTAGATTGTTACATACTTATCTCCTGTATTAGTATGTAACAATCTACCTTGTTGTCATTTGCCTACAACTACTCATAACAATCAGTAGTATGTATCGTGTCATTCGACACCTTACTATCACTTATTCATTACACTTTCTTTTGGAAACCAAAACTGTTCAGATCACGCTGCGTGATCTACTTTATGCCGCAGATAGCAGTCAATAAAGCAGTAGTATATACCGTCGACATTTTCAAATTTTCCTTTTTTTTCGTCGTTTTCTTATGTCCTGCAGTCACTGTGATTAGTCACTAAGGTGAAACCAATGTCCTATGTGTCTAATTCTTGGTGTTCTTGGTGTTAGTGCACTGAATTCTGTCAGTCAAGTTCGCAATACGGTGATGAAGTTTAGGGAACCGTCATTGCGATGATTGGAGACACACGATCTCGTCAATAAGACATATCTACCAGCTCGATCCTGCTTGGCCCAGTATTTCGCACTTACAGACGTCATTTCTGAGTTTAGAACTCTGGTTTATAAACGTTTTATGACCACTATTTAATTCAATTTGAACTTTACCGTTGATTGATTGGACCGAAGTGGTTGGCCTCTGTTGACATGTTGGCTCCTTATGCGGATGTTTCGATAATATCTGAGGATTTAGCCTGAAGTAATTTTGTGTCCCAAGTGGTCTAATGGATAACGATTTAGCGTTTGAAACTATGGGTACTGGCCTCGAGCTTCAGTGGGAACACCATGACTCACTGGTGAATGTAGGTATATCCAGATGACGAGTCCCAAACAGAACGACGTGCGCATCCTGGATTCCATTGCTAGTCACCAACTTCCAAGTTTCATGACCACACTAGACATCGGCATAAGTTCCTTACTTATTCGCTTTGGCACTCGACTGTCTCTGTAGTTCGAATCCTACTTTAGTTATTGTGGCCTAAGCCTTGTGTAAATGAGTTCCGTGTTGTAGACATCACCGCTATAGTCAACATTACAATGTCACGATACTAGAGAATGATCTTCTCTTTGCATGTAATGTCAAGTGTTTTATCTCATCAATTTATAATTAAATCATACTTTGTTTATGATCTTTGAGATCGTTCCTGTTTCTATCTTTGCTTAGCATAACCTTTTCCCTTTCTCCTTTTCAGTATACTCATTGTTGATTGGGATGTTCATCACGGGAATACTACTCAGTATGCCTTCTACGATAATCCAAAGTAAGTTTTAGACAATTAGTATTAGCTTCATGTAAAAAATTTTGAGTTTCTGTGTGTGTGTTTGTGTTTGTGTGTGTACGTGTGAATCAGTTGACCAGCCTTATCTACTTGCCTATAGTGCATCGGTGGCATAGCGGTTAGGACGCTCGCCGACCATGCACATGGTCCAGGGTTCGACCCCCGGCTGACGCACTCCTTTACCTCGCTAAGCCAGAAATAATGCTGGTGAAGAGGAAAGGTTGGACATGAGGCTAGCAACCCCATCCTGTAAAATAAACACTGCTACAGAAACTTCAAGCCACTAGCTTGAAGCCCTATGTTCCACTGGGGAACGTGAAGGAAAAAAAATCTACTTGCATATACTCCAGGTATATGTATACATCTCCAGTAGTGATTCAGAAGTATGCATGGTGTTTTAGTAGAGGTTTTAGATGTCACCTAGTGCACTAACAGTAGATGAGCATGAGGATACTAAACCTTACTGGTCCTAAGCCCAGAAAAAAAGGAAAGATTGGGCATGGGGCTATCAACCCTACCCCGAAAAATCAACCCAATCGTTAGCCAAGTTTCTGACCCATATAGAAGAATTGACTGACTGACTGACTTAACATTTGTGTTGAAAATCCGAATCTTGTTCTTTGTGCTGACTGAGTGCAAAAGATTTACAAACTGATTTCACAGTGATGAAGGTGTACCGTGCCTTTCCGATTCTGGCTTTGACATCCTCATCTGTGCTGTCACCTATAGTTGAAACGATGCTTCCCGGCCAAATAAATGAAGGAAGTGACCTTCTTTTCAGATTTTTTTCCGTTGGTGATGACTGGTATCCAAGTATCCTCTCCTAATACCTTTTAGCTTCACTAAACCATGAAAATATTAGATGTATAAATAGTGGTCTGTAACTGTAAGCAACCTAAGCATAACACTGAATCAAAGAATTTGGTTGGTTATTTCGATGAATGAGGTTAATCACTGTGTGTCTGTAGTCCTCAGAATTCAAAAATGTTTAAGGTACAGGTGAGCAAATTATTCTGAAAGGCATAGATCAGAATATGATCTTTTTAATTATAATCCAGTATGTTTCATCAAAGCGTATGACCGACTGCCATTATTATACACCATTTACAGAAGGAATTTATTGGATTCATCATATTATCCAAGCTCTGTAATACTGAATGAGAGGTGTTCACACTATAGTTGTTGCTGAATACGTTTATTATTATTATTGTTTCCTTTAATTCCTAGAGGAACATAGGGCTTCAGCCGTGCGTCTCCATTGCGTTCGATTCTCTGCTAGAGTCTTCACCTGGCTCCATGTCTGCCCACACGTTTTCATCTCCTCTTCACATGACCTCATCCAAGTCACTCCACACTTGCACTGACGACCAACTCGCCGCTTCCCATTCAGTCGGGTTCCACTCGAGCAATGGCTTGTCTAGTGATGTCACTTGATGCATTGTTTCCTCAGAGTATGTCCAATCCATCTCCATTTCCTCCTGCCTATTTGTTTCACAATCGGTTCCTGCTGAGTTGATTCGCTCATTGCCAGAGATCTCTGTTGCTGATCTTTTCTGGCCGGCCATCTGATTTTGAGCGAAGACAACTGTTAATGAAGGTCTGTAGTTTGTTTGAGATGCTCTTTATGACGCGCTGGTCAAGTCTCTGATCCGTATAGTAGCACTGACTGACTCCACATTGGAGTTGAAAATCCGGATGTTATTTTTGATGCTGAGTGCTGTTGACCTCCAAACAGACTTGAGAGTAGTGAAAGCTTGTCCTGCTTTTCCGATCCTCTTACTTTGATATCCTCGTCAGTTCCGCCTGTACTTGAAACGATGCTTTCAAGGTAGGTAAAAGAGGTTTTTTCTTTCAGGTTCCTCCCATTTATGCTGGTCATTGTTGTCTGTTGTTGTTGTTGCTGATGGTGGTGTTGCCCGGGAATCTTCATCACCTCTGTCTTCTCTTTGTTCACCTGAAGCGATGTCCTCTCTTTGATGCTTCTTCTGCCAACTTGTTGCTTTTCATTTGCATATCTTCCAGTTTGTGGGAAATCAGACATATATCATCGGCGAAGTCCAGATCCTCCAAGTTTACTAACATTCAATCTGAAGCTTATGCGTTGGTGATTCACTGATAGAGTACTCGCCAACCACCACCACCTGATCCTAGGTCCGACCTCCGGCCGACGTTTAGCCCGGTAAAGAGAGGAGGTTAAGCGCGAGACTAGCAACCTCACCCCTCCCCATGAAAAATAAACACCACTGCTATTGGAACTTCAAAGCTCATGCTTGTAACCCTATTTTCCACAAAAAACGCGAAAGAGTAAAAAAATTTAAACAACAAAAAGATTGAGCAGAGAAATAATATGCTTTTCAATTAAATCATTTGAGCATCAGTTTGTGTTAAAGGTGCTCAACGACTATCTGAAGTACAGTGCCAAGGCTCAGTAAAGCGTGGGATTCTGTGGATCTGTTTTTGCCGTTAGTCGTTTTACCTTCTATAACTGGGGACTTTCTCTATATTGTGAAGCATACTTTTTTTTTATCTAAGTCGTTTAAAATCTGTTCACTGTCTGACTGACTGACTGGTTTCAACATAGAACTTTGCACCGGTGTGCAGCAGTTCGAATCGCCACACTTCACTGAGCACAAAAAGCAAGAGAGGAAAGTAAAAAGGAATGCAAACCAGCGACAGTTCACTGTTCACTTTATGATTTCCCTATTTCAATCATCAATCATAACCATTTTTATGGCAACTTTACTATTCCAGTCTTGTGCCGTTTAAGTGTTTCTTTTAGATATATCACAAGGTAGAACAGTAGAACAGATCCACGCATGTGGTTCGGGATTCGATCCCCGGCCACGGACCCACTCGATTACCTTGCTAAGCCAGTAATAAGACTGGTAAAGAGGGAAGGTTGGGCAAATGAGGCTAGCTAGCAACCCCATCCCGTAAAACTGAAAACAGCACTGTCGCCGAAACTTCAAGCCTCTAGCTTGAAGCTTTATGTCCCACTAGGAACTAAAGTGTTCAACCACATAATCACTGATACCCGTTGCACAAGAGGTGGATCTCATGGCCTGAGTGGTCTAGTGGATGGCATCTTGGCATTTGGAACGATGGGTACTCGGTTCGAATCCCATCACTGAGTCACTGGGGAATGCAGGCACATCCAGATGACGAGTCCTGAAGAGGACGAAATGCGCATCGTGGGTTCCACAGCTAGTCACCATTCACCAAATTACTTCATATCGAATTTAACTGCACAACTTTAAAACTTGAGTGTCACAGGTATAATTCTTTTCCATTTACTTAAGGGTAGTAAAAAGTTTTAAGTGAACAAAGCTCATTTTGTTAAACTCTCTCTCTCTAGCCCGTTACATTGAATTTTTAAACCATTACTTCATCTTACTCATCCAACCCTATTGTATGCTTGTGTCTGATAGCAAGACATGATACATCTGGACTTTTTCTCTCTCTCTCTCTAAATTTCTTATCTTACTAGAGTCTACTAATCTAGATTCCAGGTTATCTGATGGATTGACCCTGATCAGATAATTTGACCTTTATATTCGATCCCACATATTCATTATTGTTATGATATTGAATAAACTAAGTTAGTTCGCTTAATGAACTTCAGAAAGGAGAGAATCGATGAGGTCACACAGTTTTTATCTAAGTGAGTTGGTGGAATTAATTATAACTTTCAACCCCCTCCTGCTATTGACTGACTGGCATCGACATAGAACTTTGCACAGATGTCCGGCAGTTGAACTTGCTACTCTTCCTTCATGCACCATACAAAACAAGAGAAGAGAGTAAACAGAGATTCTAAAGAGTGAGAGAGATAATAAACACAAATGTGAGTGAGGGAAAAATAATAATAGTAATATGGAAGAACAGTAGAGTTTTTTATTGAACGTGACAGATGACAAAGAGTAAATTCATCTTCGCCAGCCATCACCGAGAATGATTTTGAGCCATACCACCACCAGCCATCGGTTTATACTGTCCCGGGGACCTCAACCAGTCAGGAAGTCTACACCTCCCTACGTGGCTGACTGGCCGGCTGGCTTAAACTAACTGTTATGGATTTCATTGGCTGATGAAGTCATGTTTTTGTGAAACCACCATTAGCTAAATCTTTTCCAACTTGATCCATCCTATGTCAGCTAACATTGACTGTTTTCGAGGAAGGCGATGGATGGCACGGGGTGCGTAACACGTGTCCTGATCATCTCAATCGATGTAACTTCATAACCTCGTTGGTTGCCTTTCCCTCCTTACCTAGCACTCGGCCGACGCCTCACCTCAATATTACTCACCCTATTACACCTAACACTTAACATGGGAGATAGAGTACAGACACCTATGATCAAAGACAGCTAGCCAAGCTTTTCATGTCTTACACTCCCTTTGGCCATGTCTCACTCATAGTGATAATGGAGAACGAAGTGAACTGCTGGTGTACAGTACACATGTCCTTTAGTCGATCTATAGCACAGTGGTCTGTTAACCAATTGTCATATGATTTGTATATTTAACAACCTCAATGGTCATTAATATATGTCTAAAACGTGGGCAATGTGGTCGTATATAACTCCACATTAATTTGTTTATTAGATATATCACACATTGGAGAAACAGTATTATTTACTGGATGACAAAGTTTCAAACACAGTTTATTCGTGTTCATAATCATATCATCAAGATGTAATCACACAACTTCGAAACTATCGTTTTATAGTTTTCTTTATTCTTTCCTATTTGTCGTAAGGGTAGTAAGTGGAATTTTCCAGATGTCCTGGTGGACAGGTGTTGAGTCATTCCTATTACACGTATTTTCAGTTGATTCGACGAATAAAGCTTCTGTTATCAATTTCTCACTCCACACTTTTATATTAGATTTTAAGACGGTCGTCTTAACCCGTCCTATTCCATAGTTGTGTGTAATTGCACGTGTACTGCTATAGCTGAGCTATTCTCCAGATTTCTTATCTTATTAGGGACGATTAATCTAGATTAGGCTATGTTTTTGTGCTCCGTCCTACTACTTTGACCTATGTATTTGACCTGAGAATCATTCCAGCAGGGTATCAGATAAACTAAACTGGCTAAATGGTATGCAAGCTTGCTAGCTTTGTAACCGGAAGGTCCTGGGTTCGAACCTTGGCGATGGGTGCGTGCTGCTGATGAGTCCCAAACTAGAATGAAATAGCTGCTCAGCATTCCCAGCTGGTTTTCAATCCGTAGTCTAACCTGAAAGAAATAGAATCCCTACAAACTAATTTTTGAAGCTTATTACTGTTACATTATTCAAATATTCTTAGCTTTCAACTATTTATGTATGTATATATATTTTTTACTTATTTGTGTGTCACAGAGTCCTATTCATATCTATTCATCGTTATGATAATGGTCAGTTTTGGCCTAATCTACGTGAGTCGAATTATGACTTCATTGGTACTGGTCGTGGTCGTGGTTATAATGTGAATATTTCACTAAATGAGGTAGGTAGGCATGTGTTCATTTACTGTAGGGAGTTTGTATCATTTTATATAACTTATTGTATTATATACAATTTAACTAGAATATATATATATATATATGCATGCCAAGTAATCCACAACGGGAAACTCACGGAACCCTTCGAAGTGAGGACAGGAGTAAGACAAGGCTGCCTACTATCGTCAATGATTTTCTTGATTGCAGTAGACTGGATAATGCGACAAACAGCGTGGGCAATGAGGAAACAGGCATAAAATGGACTCACACAAAAAACTTGGAGGATCTGGACTTCGCCGATGATGATATTTGTCTGATTTCCCACAAACTGGAAGATATGCAAGCGAAAAGCAACAAGTTGGCAGAAGAAGCATCCAGAGAAGATAGGACTTCAGGTGAACATAGAGAAAACAGAGGTGATGAAAATTCCTGGGCAACAACAACAACAGACATCGATCAGCATAAATGGAAGGAACCTGAAAGAAACAACCTCTTTTACCTACCTGGGAAGCATCGTTTCAACTACAGGCGGACATAACTGACGAGGATATCAAAGCAAGAATCGGAAAAGCAAGACAAGCTTTCACTACTCTCAAGTCTGTGTGGAGGTCAACAACACTCAGCATCAAAAATAAGATCCGGATTTTCAACTCCAATGTGAAGTCAGTCAGTGCTACTCACTATACGAATCAGAGACTTGCACTGCGCGTCATAAAGAGCATCTCAAACAAACTACAGACCTTCATTAACAGTTGTCTTCGCTCAATACTCAAGATCAGATGGCCGGCCAGAAAAGATCAGCAAGAGAGATCTCTGGCAATGAGCGAACCAACTCAGCAGGAACCGATTGTGAAACAAATAGGCAGGAAGAAATGGAGATGGATTGGCTGGCCATACTCTGAGGAAACAATGCATCAAGTGACATCACTAGACAAGCCATTGCTCGAGTGGAATCCGAAAGAGAAGCGGCGAGTTGGTCGTCAGTGCGAGGGTGGGTGACTTGGAGGAGGTCATGTGAAGAGGAGATGAAAGTGTGTGGGCAGACATGGAGCCAGGTGAAGACTCTAGCAGAGAACCGAACTCAATGGAGACGCACGGCTGAAGCCCTATGTTCCTGTAGGAATTAAAGGATACAATAATAATAATATGGAACGTTTATACTCGACTCTCAGCTAATGGGTCGTAGAGTCTAAATCCCACTTCACCTAATCCAGACTAAGCAACTGGGTAGAACATACATTGAGCAGACAAGGAGACTCTAGAAAATCCTGACTTTGTGGAGATGATTTGTGTTTTATGTCACACAAATTCGAAAATTTACAAGCGAAATTCAAGAATACAGAAGAAGACGAAGAAACAGTGAAGATAAGACTCTGTGTGTACATGGAAATGACAGAGGTGATGAAGATACTCAACCAACAACCAATCCTAAAAAACAAACACCAGTCACCACCAATGGGAGAAATCTTACAGGAAATCACCTCTTCCACTTACCTAGGTAGCATCGTTTCAACTATAGATGTCACAGATGAAGTTGTCAAAGCCAGAATCGGAAAAGCAAGACAGACACTCATTAGTGTGAATTCAGTGTAGAAATCTGTTGCAGTCAGCATTAAGAACAATATTCGGATCTTCAACACTAACGTCATATCAGTACCTCTACTGGATTCAAAGACTTAGAGCGCCCTCATACTGAAAGCGTTTGCAACAGGCTGCAGACTTTCATCAGAAGATACCTTCTTTTCATGCTGATGACGTCAGGTGACTAGAAAGGATAGGCTACAAGGAACTCTGGCAATGAAACTGCCAACAACCTATTACCTAACAAATATGCAGAAGAAAATAAAGATAGGTTGGACTCACACAGAGGAAACCGCTGAGTGACATCACTCACAAGTCCGTCAAGTGGAACCCAAATGAGAAACAACAAGTTGGGCGTCCAAGAGTGACATGGAGGAGATCGTCTGAAGAGATGGGAACGTATGGACAATCGTGAGTATGTCTTTGCATGAGTTAAAGCAGGAGAGAGCTAGCGATTGGGGTAATCCGTTCCGACTATTTAATCTATCCTTAGATCAATAAACTGAGATTTATGCGATAACTGATAACTCGACCATCTACTCGTCAAATTATCGGTTCAAATATGTTCATCCAGAGTTTGTTATGGCAGTCACCTCTCTACCTCAACCCCATCGACTTTAAAAATGCCTTTAATAGCGCAGCGTCGATCGACAGGTGATTTGGAAAATACTTCGCTACTATGGGGTGCGCCAACAGTTGTATGACATTGCTGCATGCCAAATAATCCACAACGGGAAACTCACGGAATCCCCCGAAGAAGTGGAAACGGGAGTAACACAAGGCTGGCTGGCTGCCTACTATCTCCAATGATTTTCCTGATTGCGGGTGGTAGACTGTATTGTGCGACAGAGAGCGGGCCGAGCCAGGCAACGAGCAGACAAGCATAAAATGGACCCATATAAAAAAACTTGCACCATCTGGATTTTGCCCATGATGATATATATATATGTCTGATTTCCCACAAACTGGAAGATTCGCAAGTGAAAAGCAACAAGTTGGCAATAGAAAAATCATCCAGGGGAGATAGGAACGACTTCAGGTGAACATAGGGAAAACAGACGTAGGTGATGAAGATACCTGGCCAACAGCAACAACAATATAATAATAATGATTTACTTTATTCCAAAAACAGTACTCGTGATACAGAATGGAATTTCCAGCATTAATCACAATATTGCATCTAATTTCCTCAAATTATAAATAAAATTAATCACACAGAAAATTTTTCTACATTTACAATAGGGGTAATGTCAAAAAAAACATGCAGCATATAAAATGGAAATAATAATAATGATAGCAGCTAAGATAATGATAATAATACAAGTGGAAATTTTCGTGGGCTTGTTTCACACAGTATTGTCGATGCGGTATACAAATCCTTGCATGATTAGAAAATATTGAATATAACGTTCTCTTTATACGATATGGTGAGGGAAAAAACAAAGATAACAGAAGTCATAGAGATAAGTTGGTGTTTGCAGTTATGAAAGTAAAAACAAAGAAGCAACAGGACCATAACTATAATAGAAATAATAAAAGTAAAACTTGAAGGTATATAGGGATGGATGGAGGAAATTGTTTATTTACTAGATGAAAAAAGGTTAGTTAATTCTTGCCTGACGCTATTTTCATCACATAAAATACGTGCCAAGTATGGTATCATAGAATTTTTATACTTAGACGTGCGAGCATACAGTTTTCTTAAGTTATTTCTTGTTCCACCTGAGGAGATGCAAGGTGAAAGCTGAGGGTGAAGTGGATGCTCCAAGTCAGACAAAATCCCTTTAGCAAATTTACTGCACGAAGTCAAGTGCCTATTGACAACGACGTTAACTATGTAATCCACTGGGACACCACTCATCCTACTGACAGTCTTCAGCATTCTACGATTTGTGACATAGTCCTTTTTAAGCAAACCAGGAAAGAATAAGGGTAAACAATAAAGAAGAATAGGTAGGATGCAAGAGTTTATGAACTGTAAGAGGAGGGGTTTAGTTATACCCGAGTGCCTTAACTTCTTAATGTAAAATGTCAGGCGGAATATTTTACGGGAGATCGCTGAGACATGGGAAGACCAGGAGAGATCAGAAGAGAGAATAAGCCCAAGACACAGATAACAATCAGCCAGCATGAATGGGAAAAATCTGAAAGAAGCAACCTCCTTTACACACCTACCTAAAAAGCATTGTTTCAAATACAGGCGGACTCAACTGATGAGGATATGAAAGCAGCGAGGATCACGAAAGCAGACCAAGCTTCCATTACTCTCACCAAGTCTGTGTGTAAATCAACAGTACCCAGCATGAAAATAACATCCGGATTTTCAACTCCAATGTGAAGCCAGTCAGTGCTACTCTATACGGATCATAGACTTGAGGCCGCGCCGCCCCGCGTCATGAAGGCCACTTCCAACAAACTACATACCTTCATCAACAGCTGTCTTCGCTCAATACTACTCAAGATCAGATGGCCGGCTATAAAAGACCAATCAGCAACGGGGATCTCTGAGGAAACGTCGACTGTGAAAATTTTTCATCCTACCTTATCCTTCAGTGGATCGCAGCGTGGTGTGGTGTGGTAAAGTCTTCAAAATAGACACACAACTGCAGCAGCCACTTCAAACACTCTGTTTGTCATCGACCAATTGTCCCTTAGACTCTGTAGTTACATAACACTAGTGCATCTTTAATTTCAGGCAGTGTTATTCACTCGTAGATTCTACTAACTTACTTTGTTTTCAGTTTTATATTGTATAGTTTAAACGTTTTCATATTTACAATTCTTTTGCTGATTCCACTTGTTTTTCTCTCTCTATCTCTCTACCATTATCCTTTTAGAAAGATGTCGGGGATTCAGATTATCTAACTATATTTCATCGCATTATACTTCCTTTAGCCTATGAGGTAAATCTTCATATTTTTTTCCCGCATTGTGTAATTTTTATAATTCATAAGTCATCACTCTTTTAGGTATAAGAGAGTGCATCAGTGGCACAGTGGTAGAATGCTCGCTGACCACGCCTCACGTGGTTCGGGGTTCGGTCATTGGCCGACGCACTCCTTTACCTCGCTAAGCCAGAAATAATCCTGGTAAAGAGGAAAGTTGGGTATGAGGCTAGCGACCACATCCTGTAAAAATAAAAACTGCTACAGAAACTTCAAGCCTCTATCTTGAAGTCCTATGTTCCACTGTGCACGTAAAGGAATAAAAAAAGGTATAAAGAGGGTGAAAATAAGGGATAAAAAGTCGTCAAAACAAGTTAACTCGTAGATGTAAGCAATATGATATCCTGATTTTGAGTGAGGGATAAAAAATAATTATGGAATTCAGGATCAGTTTAATTTGTAGCGTTGCGATTTATAAGGTGTCTAAAGTGTTACGACATATATGTATATATTTCTTGAAAAAATGAATTAACATTTGTGTTGTTGGAGGGGGGGGGGGTAACAAAAGAAAATTAGTAATAGTTACGTAATTAGACAAGAGAAGATCAAAATTTCGGTGCACATGAGGTCAGATGAGAAGTTGATGATGTAATACAGTGAGCAGAACTCAGAAGATCAAGAAAAATTATCTCTTAAGAGAGTCAAGCGAAAAAATAAAGGGGGGGGGAAGTGAAAAGATAAGTTAACAAAATTAGAAAACAAAGAGTTACTAAGAAGTGAGTCACCAGGGTAACTGAAGTCCAACAACGGATTCTTTTTGGACACATAAGTCAGGCTTCAATCGTTTTATTGCTATAGCTTCAGCAAACCTAAGAAGACTTGAGGTACTTTGTCTGTTAATTATTTTGAATGATTCCAGCACATCTACTCGGTGTCCTGTGTCAATCAGGTGTTTGGCGATTGAAGAGCTTAAACAATTCGGTCCCTTTAACCGGAGGCTCCTTGGTACATGTTCGCAGAATCTGACGTAGGCCCTCCTTTCTGTTCTTCCAATGTAACTGCTCCCGCAGATACATGTGAATTGGTATACACAGTTGGAGGTAACATGTGAGGGTTACTTGTCAATCTTTGACTGCACCAGTGAGGAGGTTGTTCGGGGTAGAGAGACTAATAATGCTGCAGGATACGTCCTAGACAGGGCTGCGCTTAATCTATTATTTACCATTTAAGCAGCTTCTCGTGTTATTTACTAATGATATAAAATTCCAGTTTGACAACAAAATGTATCGCCAGGTTGATGGAGTGGCGATGGGGAGTCCACTGGGTCGGATATTAGCTGATATTTTTATGGCCAGAATGGAAAAGACAAAGCTCAAGTGTGCAGCTTGCGAAAGAACAGCCTACTATAGATACGTTGATGACACATTCATTATATGGAATGATTTGAGTCTCGCTTCGTCTCTATTGGACTCTTTCAACAATGTACACAAAAGCATTACTCACACAACTTTGTGTGAGTGACTTGATATGATTATGAGCAATAGTTTGTTCTCGAAACGTTATCAGTTAATATTACTGTATAACACTGTGTGATTTATCAAAATAAAATCTTATCTATAGTGGAGTTATTCCTTTACCAAGTCTCATCTTCGACTATTACAACTTTACTTCTTTAAGTGCCTCTGTTACCTTTCTGTGTAACCATGCGGGACAGTGTTTCAGGTGCCCTAAGAAGAAACGAAATCAACTTCCACAGTGTGTGGGCGGCCGAGAAGTATAATAACCGCCCACATACTTCTGAAAGCACAAAAAGCTGTCCTGATTAGAAGTCAAACAGACAACAACGGTATTGTAGTATTCGTTAGTAGATGAAATCTCAACACTTCAACGGATTGTCTTTTCTCACTCATCCCACAATTAACATTCCATGTCTAATCAATACATTACCACTTTATTTTATGCCTCACGTTTTCAGCATTTGTGGTCACATGTCTGTAATTTTGATGTAGTTGTGTTCTCTGAGCTGGATAGTTAATTTGCGAAGCTTTCATCGCCCTACTAGGCGACATCTTCAGCGCATACTTCAATTTGTGGAAGTGAGCTTTTAGATTTCTCCACGAGTTTATTAATCATCTTGGACGTGATTGGTTGTTTTTTTGTGTTTTCACACCTTCTAGGTTACTTGTTTTGTAACTCATTGTTTCTTTGACTTGAACTTTGACCCTTTGTGTGTGAGGCTTCTTTCTTATCGGTTGATAAATTTTGTCTATTTCGATGTGTCTATTGATTGATGATTCACTGGAATGCCAAGCTTCTAAAAATTCTCTAGCATTCTTGTTGTTTCTTCTGTCTAATATTTGAACATTGTCCCAATCGAATTGATGCCCGTGGTTGTCTGTATGTAGTGATATGAGGGAGTGGATGTCATGTCTTTTGACGGCTAGCTTATGATCGTGGATACGAAGACAAAGGGGACGTCCACTTTGGCCAATGTACTGTTTTTCACAGTTGTTACAATTTAATTTGTAGATGATGTTAATTTTATCTTCTTTCGTTGTTGAGTCTTTTGGTTGACATAGAATTGAGTGAAGTGACTTTGTTGGTTTGTGTACGACGTCAATTCCTAAAGGTTTGAAGCGTCTTGTAGTGATTTCTGAGATGTCCTGAGACATCACCAGGAGAGATGATTAATAAACTCGTGGAGAAATCTAAAAGCTCACTTCCACAAATTGAAGTATGCGCTGAAGATGTCGCCTAGTAGGGCGATGAAAGCTTCGCAAATTAACTATCCAGCTCAGAGAACACAACCACATCAAAATCATCCACCTGAGCTACAAATCTTCTCCATCATATCTACATGTCTGTAAACTAGTGTGCCGGTAGTCTGTTTTAGTTGAATTAAGAGGTATTTTCCTTTCCCACTAACTACTATATGTTTTACTTTGGGTCATACAGGTACGAGATAGATTGTTGTAGTGTAGTGAAGTTTACTGGAAATTTAGACAGCCGTACTTTTTTAGCATTGGAGAAACTGTGTGTAAACTAACATTGCAGTAAGGTCTTCATATAGACACAACTGACTTCCCTCTTGCAAAACTTGAAAACGGGATATGTATTACCGTTATATCGATGATACATGTCTGGATTCAACATAGGACTTGGCACCGAAGTGCAGCAGTTCCAGTTGCCACGTTCCAAATAGCACACAAAGGTAGACAAGAAGATGAGTGAAGAGAATCAATAGACTTTTGACAAGTATAAGAGTGTAACAGAATGAGTAATGGTAGAAAGGAATATGAAAGATTACAGAGACTGAATACATCTGCGTAAGCCATTGACAACGGTTTTGAGCCATGTCACCTATTGTCTCCAGCCATTGAATCTTAGAGTCCCGAGGGTGGGCCCCAACCCGGAAGTCTGCATCTCCCTCTCTACCTGACTCAGTTTAACTGTCAAGGATTTCATGGATTGATGAAGCCATGTTTTTGTTTGGCCACCAACCACTTACTCTTTTCCAACCTGCACCTATATCAGCTAGTAATGACAGTCGGCGGAGGCGATGGTTAGGTATGCGCAGCACGTGACCTAGCCATCTCAATCTATGTAACTTTATAGCCTCGTCGATTGATTTTGATTGATACATTGGTCTGATTTAGTGAGAATATAAGCATACAGTCGAATTATTGATGAAATTTAATAACATTCACCCTTCGCTTGCTCTTACTTGTCAAATGAAGATGGATAATACACCGTATCTTTTGGATGTCTTGATAGGTGGTAGGCGAGTAGATAACTCACTTCGAAAGGTGTGTATTGGAAAAACACATTGACGGGGCAATCAATACACTCACTTCCTTGGTTATGTACCCATTAAGTATAAAGGGTTATATTGTCAAGTGTTTTACGAGCAGAACATGAAAGATATTCACGGAAGATCTTCTACAAAAGGAATTTGAATATATATTCATAATTCCTTGACAGAGAGATGGGCTATCCGAGTAGTTTCATGCAGAAACATATGGAAACATCAGATAGAAAATATGAGACTGAAAGCACGCAGGAAACCTCTATTTCTTAAGCTACAATTTAATAGTGACCTGTCAGGTGAGATTTTGTTCTACAGACTAGCCAGAGGTATACCACTTTCGTAGGTTCAAAACCAGCTTCGTCTATTTCAGTCTTGTTAAGCGGATAGTATGGCCTACCCTCATATCATAATAAGTATGTTCGATACCCCCCAGTGTATAAACAATCTTTGGGGAGCTGGGGAGGGGGGTAATTAAGCTCTAACTAACTGATATTGCTAAAAAAGCGATGTATTCGTTGTTGCAGGGGTCAGTTTCAAACATATATATATGACAGAGTTAAATGAATGTTATTTCTTACCATTTAACTAATTTCATTTGTCCACTTATTGCTAACTTTGTTTTTATTTTGTTCTTATTTTTTTCTCCCAGTTCGATCCTGAATTAGTGCTTATTTCTGCTGGATATGATTCTGCATTTGGTTGTCCCCTGGTAAGTGTGACTCAATTAATTCATATACAATAAGATGAATGACTATCAGTCCCATTGGTTTCATTGTATCCAAAGAAACTGCCACCCCCCCTCACTCCTCCATCATCATAAAGGATTGCTTTTGAGTGATACTTTGTGTTTATATAACCTAATTTCCATTGTCAGACTTCCTTCACGAACCAAAATTAGTCAGAAAGATCATTTAAAAACTAGTAAGGAGCACTAGACAGTCAGCTGTTTCGTCCTGTCTTGGAACTCCTCAGCGATGCACATCCAGGGATGGAACCTGGGATCTCCAGGTTACGAGATGAAACTCGTTCATTATTTTAGCCACTTCTGAGGTGGAATTCAATGACCGATGAATTCTGACCCTCAGTCAATCAATGCCTTCGGTGAGCGCATGTACTTCACCTTGATCTGGTAGACCTCAGTGGTCAATACGTCTCACCACAGCTTCAAGACATCAATCAGTCCAGCAGCCATCAATAAACTGGAGATTGGTATTCAGACTATAGGATTTGTGAGGATTTGAATTTGTTTAATTTCAGCTTTTCGGTCCTCGGTGGTGGACGAAACACCTATCCAGTGCTCACTACTACTTTTCAATGATCTCTCTAACTGATGTTGATGGTTCGTGACGAAATCTAACAATTATAATTAATGCATGATCTGCAGGAGGATAGCAACATATGTGTAAGCGTAGGAAGTCTTTTTTATCGCTCTTGTTGGACATTGGGATAGAATCTGCATCGAAGTAGTTTCCTTGAATTGATATTGGTGTATTTTCTCAGTTGGTGTAAAGCTTTCCTTGTCCCTCTACTAAAGCCGATAAAATTCTACTGATGACCATACCTGTGATTGATGTGTCTTCTTCACTTGTATTAGTGAACAAAACGAATCGTGTATGGCTAAGATTACCCATCGCCTTCCTCGATGGGCAATGTTAACTGACATGGGATCAGGCTGGAAAAGAGCCAGTGGTGTGCAAATCAAAGACATGGCTTCATCAGTTAATCAAATCCATAACAGTTAGTTTAAGCCAGCCAAGTAGGGAGATGTAGACTTCCTGAATGAATGCTATGAGTCAGAGGCAATTGGTGGTGGTATGTCTTAAACTCGTTCTCAGTGATGGCTGGTGCAGATGCATTCACTCTTTATCATTTGTCATGTCGTCCAATAAAATTCTATTGTTCTTCCATATTACTATTCTTTTCCCCTCACTCACACTTGTGTTTATTACCTCTCTTTTGTTGAACCTTTCTTTACTCTCTTCTCTTGCTTTGTGTGCTACATGGAGTGAGTGTGGCAACACGAACTGGTGGACATCTATGCAAAGTTCTGTGTTGAAACCAGTGAGTCAATCAGTCAGGTGTATGACGCGTGTATCATCGGTTACTTTTCCACATATTCATCATTACAAATATGTATTCATCGACTGAGATGGTCAGGACATGTGTTACGTGTGCCTAGTCATCGCCTTCCTCGACAACGGGGAATGTTAGCTGATATAGGGCCAGGCTGGAAAAGAGCTAGCGGTGGTCAAACGAAAACATGGCATCAGTCAATCAAATCTGTAACAGTTAGTCTAGGCCACGTAAGAAGGTGTAGACTTCCTGACTCGTTGGGGTCCTCGGGACGGTAAAAACCAATGGTTGGAAACAATTGGTGACATGGCTCAAAATCGTTCTCAGTGGCGCAGATGCATCCACTCCTTGTGACTTATGATTTCCAATGAAACTGTTTTGTTCTTCGTTATTACTATTCCTTTGTCTCACACCTCTGTTTACTGTCTTTATTATGCATTTCTCCTACTTTCTTCTCTTGCTTTGTGTGCTACAAGGAGGGAGTGTGGCGACTTGAACTGCTGCATATATGTGCAAAGTTCTATGTCGAAAACAGACAGACAGACAGATTCATTTGTACTGAAAAGTGTTGAGTTAATTAATTAATTTATTGATTGATTGGTTGATTTAGGTTTCTTCAATTTTATAATTTTCCACTTTAGGGTGAATTGAATCTTAGCCCTTCTTTATATGCTCATTTAACGCATAAGTTGATGGCTCTTGCTGAAGGAAAAGTTATTGTCGGTTTAGAAGTAAGCTATTCACTTTTTATTGTTGTTTATTATTTTTTTTTATTCATGTTATGTCTTATTCATTTCTCAAATATTTATTATAACTGTATACATCAAGGAATCTCATGCTTAGTAAATTCTGTACACCGAAGAACTCCTTGTTTTGTTTTTTGGAGGAACTGATCTACTCCGAATAAATTTTCTGTGTACCAAGTAGTTAATCACACAATTATGTATATAAGGGTCGGTGATACTACTACCTACGTTGAGTGTGATTCAACCCCACGACATATCGCCCCTGGAAGTCATCGTCTGCTGGTGTTTCACTATGGCCATGGCCCAAGAAAGCATCCGGCCACTAGGGCTTCCCATAGAACCGCACCAGCTACTGGTGTGACGTTAAGGAACTACTCGGATACAAGCCAGGAACTTTTGCTCTTGACGAAATCCATAGTTACCGGAAGAGCACTGAAATTTTGATCAGCAAATTGCCCTTCTAACGTCTCATTCGTAAAATCTCCCATGACTTCAGGATACCAAATTGTGTGGTATTCATGTCAAAAATGTGACCACCATGTCCAAGGATATTCATCTAGCTCGTCTCATTCGTGGTAAGTGCGTCTAGATGTTTTGTCAAGAACCCAATAAGCCACATCTGCACATAAATAGAGAAATACATCAACTAGTCGACTTAATCGTAAGCTTACATGAAAATGTTCTTTTTCGGACAACTTTCTATTGGATTTATACATTGTTATTTATTTGAATGAACTCAGAACTAAACATAACCTCAATGCGTAAAATTTTCGCAACACGTTCTACTTGCTTTAAAGAAGAAGGTCTTCTTAACTGTATGGAATTTTGTATCCATATTTGGTGTTCTGTCACGTTTATCACATATTTCTGAGGATATGAAGACTTTCCCTGTTGACCTACATCATTTATGGTGATTTACGCCACTTGGTTATGTAAGTTAAGGTCTTAAGAAGCTGTCAACGTCGTTGAAGAATCTCTGCAACACTATTCAAAATTAATTGCAATGAAGAACATATATTCATTTGAAAGAAACTTCAAATATTTTCCTTCCCTTATCGCATCCTTTTCCGTTGACCTCGTCTTCCAAGTTCCCCTATCCAGTAAGGTGAGAACTTGTGCTGTCTCACGTTGTTGTTCGGATATGTTTTAGCTCCAGGGTAGGCTTCACCTCAAAGCAACATTAGACAGAGAAACATTGTAGACCAGGGCGCTCTGGACTTCTTTTTCGTCTTAGTTCAGGACTCTTCACAGGTCATTTGGTTCTAAATCAATGACTAAATATGTTCAATGAATTTTACTTCGTAAACCAAAGAACTTGGTTTTCCGTGAAGGTGAGGATTGGTGATGAAGAGTCACAATCTAGGATAAAACAGCTCTCCAATGCCTGTCTCGGTGTTCAATGATTCTGTAAGTTATGTGACACAAAATCTCCTGAAATTAAAACGAATCCTTCAGTTGCTAATCCACCTTTCTATGCCCTCATATTACTAACTTTTGAGGCAGTTGTAAGTGGTAATAATATATGGAATGACTAGTGTTCACTATCCTGTCTTTTGAAATTTCTAATGGGCATGTCTTTTTTTTAGAATTTTTAATATATTTGTGCGTTGAAGTTTTTGTAGCAATTTGGTTAAGTTTTCGGGGTGGAGTTGCTAGCACCACACCCCAACCTTCCCTCTTTGTCCGGGCTTGGGACTGACTAGAAAACTAGTGACCTAGTAATCTAGGCGAGGTGTGAAGAAGAGTTGAAACAGTATGGACTAACATGGATGCAAGTGAAAAGTACAGCAAAAGACAGAAGCAAGTGGAGGCGTGCAGTTGAAGCCCTATGTTCCACTAGGAACCCAAGGGAACAATAACAATAAATAATAATAATAATGGGCATATCTAATAACTTCTAATTTAAAACTGTACATTATTCAATTCTTTATCGTCGCAGTCTGTATCCGTATCGTTTTTTTCTTCTTCATTTCTCTTTTCACAATCTTTAGGGTGGTTATTATTTGGATTCATTAGGTGAATCAGTTGGTCATACTTTATCCGCTTTACTTGGTGATCCGATGCCATCTTTAGAACCAATGAAACCAATTAATCCAAGGTTAGATTATTCACGTTTTTTTCTCTCCTCATCTCATTTTTGTCTGTTTACCCGATCATATTCACGAATGTTAAACGATCCAGAGAGAATTTTTGATTGTCCGAACTTGAGTTAATTTGTAAGGATTAGGTCTGTTTGATACCATTGAAAACCAGCTGGGTACACTGGATAGCTGTTTCATCTTAGATTGGGAATCACCAGCAGTACGCACCCACTGAGTTTCGAGCCCGTATACCACTCAGCCACTGGGATCCTGGTTTTCAATGGTTCTCTAACTGATACCCCAATCGGTGGTTAAACTCCAAAAAAAGAAACCTAATCCTTACAAATCAACTCTTGAAAATTTATCTGATGCTCGCTGCTAGTGACTTGTTACAGGACAGAGTTTCCTGGTGTTCTAGTGAAAAGTCGTGACCAGTTGGGAGTGAAGATGGATTTCACGCTGTTCGTACATGGTTAACCCTTATTTCTTTTTTGAGCAAAATTTCATTCTACTTGCTAATAATAAGTAGTATAAGTTACATTTTGCGCCAATTTCTAAACATGATAATATCCACAACGGGAAACTTACGGAACCCTTCGAATTGAGGACAGGAGTAAGACAAGCTGGCTGCCTACTATCGCCAATGATTTTCCTGATTGCAGTAGACTGGATAATGCGACAAACAGCAGGCAATGAGGAAACAGGCATAAAATGGACTTACACAAAAAGAGACTTGGAGGATCTGGACTTCGCCGATGATATATGTCTGATTTCCCACAAACTGAAAGATATGCAAGTGAAAAGCAACAAGTTGTCAGAAGAAGCATCCAGAGAAGATAGGACTTCAGGTGAACATAGAGAAAACAGAGGTGATGAAAATTCCTGGGCAACACCACCAACAATAACGACAACAACAGACAACAATCAGCATAAATAGGAGGAACCTGAAAGAAACAACCTTTACCTACCTGTGAAGCATCGTTTCAACTACAGGCTCACGGAACTGACGAGGATATCACAGCAAGAATCGGAAAAGCAAGACAAGCCTTCACTACTCTCAAGTCAGTGTGGAGGTCAACAGCACTCAGCATCAAAAATAAGATCCGGATTTTCAACTCCAATGTGAAGTCAGTCAGTGTTACTATACGGATGGATCAGAGACTTGCACTGTGCGTCATAAAGAGCATCTCAAACAAACTACAGATCCTCATCAAAAGCTGTCTTCGCTCATCACTTCACTCAAAATCAGATGGCTGGCCAGAAAAGATAAGCAACAGAGATCTCTGGCAATGAGAGAACCAACTCAGCAGGAACCGATTGTGAAACAAATATGCAGAAGGAAATGGAGATGGATTGGAATGGCGATACTCTGAGGAAACCATCAAATGACATCACTAGACAAGCCATCGCTCGATTGGAACCCGAAAGGGAAGCGGCGAGTTGGTCGTCAATGCAAAGGTGACTTGGAGGAGGTCATGTGAAGAGGAGTTGAAAGCGTGTGGGCAGACTTGGAGGCAGGTGAAGACTGTAGCAGAGAACCGAAGGCAATGGAGACGCACGGCTGAAGCACTATGTCCCTCTAGAAATTAAAGGAAACAATAATAATGATAATAATTATAACATTTTTGATTACACGCGACTCATTACTACTGTACTATTGATTTGATAATTTTTACATATATATATGACGTTGTGTTCAGGGGATAATCTTAAGGTTTAACCTTCAGAAAATCACACAAGTGTGAGTGAGGGAAAAAGAATAATAATACGGAAGAACAATTACGTTTTACTGGATATGACAAATGACAAATAGTGAATACATGTGCGCCAATAACTAATGTCACTCTTCTAGCCGTTTCTTTGGTGCAGACTGGATTCTTTCAATCACCATTGCAGTGTGGCTTCCATTTTCGGTAGCTTGTCACTACGGTGCTCTCTGTGAATTGTTGCTTGATTGTCATTTGTTTTGATGTTCGCATCTTCGATGAAATTATCTTATACAATTTTGCATTAATATTCGTACTACTTAATATTTGCAAGTAATATATATTTTAAAATTACAGCAAAGGAATTTGATATGATTATGAGCGTCAATAAATTGTGCTCTAAGCATCATCCGTAAATATTACTGTATAACACTTTGAGGCCTTATCAAAATTAATTTTACGCACAATAGAACTCACCGATGTTATACTGATGTTTTATGTTAGATAATAATTAGACGAAGAACAAAACATTGTTAGATATCATATCTAACGCATTTTTAGGAAACAAGTACCACATTTTATTTTTTACTCGTCATTCAGTTAATATTAACGTGTGAGTGGAAAGAAATGATGCATATACCATTTTCTGCCTTATATATCTAATTGAAAACAACCGACTAATCAAGGTAAATTATTCTTTCTGACATGTTCAGAGGCCAAGTTAAACTTTAACCCACTAGTAAGTAAGTAAGTACCCAATGGAGTTTGACTGCACCAATCAAATTGAAACGCTCAGTAAGCTAGTTAGTGAAACCTGGCCAGTAAAATATGCCTAATGAAGTGTTTTGGTATTTAAACGGGATATCCGGTGGTAAGTTTCAGGTTAGGGTTAGGTTAACGTAATAAGGGTGATATTAGGGTTGATTCGAGTTAGGGTTAAGGTAACTTTAGGGATATTTTCACTTTAGAGTGAGGTTAAGGAAAGATTGGGTAAAAGTCGCCTTTATTATATGATTGGTTGCATTCAAGGTCACCTGTCCGTTGCTACATTTTGGTAATTAAAGTTTAGCTTCACCTGTTCAGCTGTCAAGAGAAACAAATGAATCTCGCTACAAAGATCAATTTTTTCACGAGTCAAAATGCAATGGACAGCTAATAAAAGTTTATAGGTTTTTCCCAATAACCATAAAATGGAATTGTCATCGTCTCTCTTGCGAGGTGAATGTCTAGCATGTGTATGGAAGATACATTGAGTAGGAGAAATTGGAATCCTTTAGAAATAGTCTAATTAAGAATGGATGCTCAACCTCCCTCATCGATAAACACCTAGAGAGTAAGGTTGATGCTACTCCCGATAGCTGGATGGTCTGCGATCTCGCCTTGTAACCGGAAGGTCATGATTTCGAACCCCAGTGGGGTGTATACTGCCTAAGAGTCTCAAACTAGGACGAAATGCCTCTCCTGTAACTTATCTCAAATTCAAAGGATTTATAATTGGTGACGCCTGCCTAAATCACTTCTGATTCTTGTTAACAATTAAAACTTATAATATCTTTATTTTCAGATGTATACTCCCTTTGTCTAATATGAACATGAGAAAAAATATTTCAACGTTTAATATGTATTACGCATCATTTAACTGTTTCTCTTTTCGTTTTCTTCTACACAAATGTTCTAACAGTGTTCTACAGACAATATCGAATTGTGTATCTACGCTAAGTTTTCGATGGAAATCATTACATTTATATCCAGTGTCGAGTATTATCCCATTCCCTGATATAAGTCATTTAAAATTGCAAAGTTGGTAAGTTTCTGATTTTAGAAACCTCTTTTTTCATACTGTTTGTAAACACGACTATATTTCCTGAGCGTATTTTCCAGAGTGATACCTGAGAGTCGTGTGTACGTCTCATCCCCGTAGGCTTGGTGACATGTAGAGCCTACCACTACAATTAAGAAG